TATCCGAAGTACCGAACTAAAAGTGAAGTGAATTGAAACGCCATAGTTAAAAATTGAAAGTTTAGTCTTTAAAAAAGATCAAGAACTAAAGCTCCGGTATAATTAAAAAAAAAGTCTATTTAAAGAAGTGTTAATTAACAGAAGTCTGGCTAATTCAAGAAAAGAAAGACTTAAGCATAAAAGGAATTGTGTGCGTATTAGTCCAAAACTTTGGTACCTTCCACCTGAGTGTGGCACAGTGGCCAAGATTGTCGGGTACGAGCGGCGATGCATACCCCTGGACGCAGCCAGTATGGTGCTTAAAGTCAAAGTCAGACTTAAGTACTCGCAGAACCACATCGTTTGTCTTTTTAGACGAGTGAGTGCCTACTTCATTTTATTTTTATATACATAATTTTTCCTTTTTTATTTAAAGGTAACTTGAAAGTGTAACAGACAAGGCTTGAAAGTGTAACAAACAAACTCACTATCAGCGATATATTAAATAACCGGCAAACGGCCAGCAAAAGCTAGGATATTATAAATGTGAAAGTGTTTGTTTATTTATTTGTTTGTTTGTTTGTTTGTTTGTAACACTTTCACTCCTAAATCGCTAAACCGATATTAAAAATTCTTTCACCAATGGCAAGCTTTCTTTTCTTTTTTTCTTTTCTTTTAAAAAGACAACTCCCGCATTAGGAATAAATCCTGTGTCGCGGGGTACTTTACAAACATACATGAAACGGACACAAAGAACACCCAGACTCAGAACAACAATTTGTGGATCACACAAAGTGTCGTCCCATGTGGGGTTTGAACCCACAACACTCGGCGTAGTAGGAAGCGGCGTGGTGACCGCTTAAACCACTACGCCATCCGTGCAGTCATTATCAATCAGTCATTATCAGCTACATTATCAACAAGTAACATAGGCTAACTTTTACCGCGATGACCGATATACACACAGGCGGAGCCCCTGGCAAAAGCTAGTAAAGTATAAAAAACAAGCCCCATTTAAATTCCAAACATTATCATAACAACTTAATAAATTTTCGTTTGGACTACCAACAACTCTGGGAACTGTTCTCATAGGATGAGCTTCCGAACGAACATAATTCATTCTATGGCGTTTGTTTTTATTTAATCCTGTCTCTGATTAAAAATTCTAATAATTATAACAACACAAGCTGTTCCTTCTTTAAAACGACAAGAACCTTCTTTAGAAATTGGCGTAAAACTTAAAAAAAACACTGAGTCAAGTCAAGAAGCACGTTAAACCGTCGTTTCGGTCCCGTTTGTCATATGAACATCTGTACCAATCGTTACGGTTAGTTGGATCCCTAAAGTCCTACAAGAGTCTTTCTGCAGAACTTCGCTTTGTACTTAAGTTGTGGAGGTCTGATGACAGCCGCAACGCGAAAAAAAACGAAGTTCAGCCGACAGAGTTAAGACAAACCGACTCCAATCTCGTGAAAAGGCTCGGAGGAAGTCAAGAACTATTCCTAACCTTTAAAAATTCTCATTTTAATTCGTACGAACACTTTCTTGAGGGTGCTTGGGTCGCAAAAGTATAAATAAAGACGCATAACAAGCAAAGGCTCGCCGCCGATTGTTATCAGAGGTCAAAGGTCAAGTTCAAAGAGAAATAAGCGAACTCGGACACTCGTTGTAGGGGGGAATTTTACTTCACTGTATTAGAAACTGTGGCCGGTCGAATGAAGTACTACAACTGAAATAAAAATTAATTAATGTCGTTGTGTTTTCATTTTATTTCTTTGATGTTTGAGGAAAATTTAATAAAGACATATTATGTTTAGGTATACGTGCTTAACAATTGGCGGTCTTAACACTTACGTTTACGGTGATTTCTTCCAAATAGCTTTTTACTTAACTGATCTTTTATAAAAGAGACATTTTTGAAATTATTTTGATGGAATAGCACACTGATAAAAATGGTTTTCTCACCAATTACCGCATTAGTAGTTTCGACTGAGAAACTATTAGGTAGGTACTAGCATAATTCACAGAAATTTTCTCGCTAAATTTAGACAGTGACCATGAATAAGTAGGGTATTTTTTTTAACCTTAGTTTAACTATTTCAAAAGGTATAAACGACTTGATAACACACTGCCAGCGTCAAAAGTACCACATGAAAATATTTAGTTTTTTTTTAAAGACAACTCCAGCATTAGAAATATATCAGGATATATTAAAGTACCCCCCCTTTAACTTTACGTCACAAATTGTTATTCTGAGTCTTGGTGTCCTTTGTGTCCGTTTTATGTATGTTTGTAAAGTCCCCCTCAATACAGGATTTATTCCTAGTGCGTTAGTTGTAACTATCACAAACCGCAAAAGATAAAAATAATAAGTGTCTATTCCTTTATTAACCAACTGCGAAAATGAGGTCTTTGTTCGATTGTTTATTATGTTTTTTACATCAGAACTCTGTTATTTACGAACCGATTTAGAATATTATTCTAAGTATATTCCCGTTTGTTCCCATTTATTTTGGTGGAAAATAAGAGAATTAAGAATACTGGTTATTATACTTTATCATGATGGAGGCGTTTTTTTTTTAACCGAGTCGAATAAACACAATGAACTTAGCAAATCTTGATAAATGTCTATCGAATTTGTTAATATTTATAACGAAAACATCAGTCATCATTAACAGCCTTTAGTAGGTATAGTTAGCGGGCATGGTCCTCTCCTTAGAAAGGGTTTATGCCTACTATACCACGCTGGCCAGACGGGTTGGTATAGGGTTTGTGTCAAGTTTTCCTGCTCTTTGTAGTGCTGTTGTCCTGCGAAGTTTGCTTGTAGATGAATAAGGGTGGTGATACTTTGTATTCTTAATCCATCACCACACGAACACATCATCAGTGCTATCAATGAAACACTATTATAACATGTCCAAAAATGAAAATACACGTCAAACATGATTCGATTTAATGAAATGCTGCCTGTGATAAGCCGATTGTTAGCTAAATATTTGTAAGATGTTTGTATTGTTGTACAATATAGAGAGAAATAAATACCTATATAAAATGACAGTATAACATTCGTCACACTTTACAGTGTAAATCTATTGTTTCTTTCACAATAATTGTTTATACCGATGTTTGCAAGGACCAATGAACGTTCAAGAAAATATATATACCTATGTTTGAAAATGTAATAAAAATATTGTTCTGAGTCTGGGTGTTATTTGTGTCCGTTTCATGTATATTTGTAAAGTCCCCCGCGACACAGGATATAATAGGTCTTTACCTATGAAATTGCCGTTCTGACGACCAAAGCTGGTTGCTGATGTGACCACCAGACCTTGCACCTACCGACTATTACTTTTTTCAAAATTTAGACAACTTTTTAGTGGGTAAAAAATTCAATTCCCCAGAGGCAGTACAAAATGTCTCTAAAGAGTTTGTTGCCTCCCGTCCAGCTGATTTTTACAAGAAGGGCATCAATAAACTGCCAATGCGTTGGCAAAGATGCGTCGATTGCATGGGTGATTACTTCGAATAACAGAAATAAAAAAGTTTGAAAATAATAAGTACTTTCACTTATTGCATACAAAACGGCAATTTCATAGGTAAAGACCTAATATATTCCTAATACGGGAGTTGTCTTTAACAAAAAAAAAGGACAATAATAATAACAACACACCAGTCTGATCCCATACTGGCCTATGTTATGGTAACCAGACTGCTGCTAAACACACTTATAATTATATATATTTCTAAATACATACATAGTACAGATAAATTAACATCCAAACACAGAACAACCTCCGGGTCCTCCCACGAGCTACGGGTTACTAACCACTAGAGATGGAATAAAATCACAATCACATGTGATCAGCATATAATCACACCTGTGACTGATTACCAAAACCAACGACTTATTGTTATTACGCTAGCGCAAGAATCGCGAAAGGTTTAAATCTAAAAACAAAGTTCGTAATCTTTGATTTAAAAAAAAAGTGATTTTAATTTAATTTATGTTTGCCAAATCACAATCACATGTGAAATCGCTGTGAGTAAAACCAATCATTCCATCGAATGATTATGATTTAGAAGTTTTACAAACATTACTTGAGTGCTGTTTGAATGGATTTGAAGTCAGGAAGAAGGTAGGTTTAGTCTAGTCCTATGGCGTAGTGTGTAGTTCTTTTATTTATTCTCTTTTTTTTGTGAAAAGATATTGTTTTTTTGGTACTAATTTTTATATTTCCAAAATATAAACTAGGTGCTTTCGAGTCTTGTACACCATTGAAATAAAAGACTGGGATCCTAGGGCTAGTTAGACATAATACATACGAACCGTCGCCGCATCATACGTCAATCCGTCTAAGGGAGCAAACTACGCAGAACATCAGCACTGCAGAGAGAAGGAAAACTTGACACAAACCCTATACCAACTCGGCCAGCGTGGTATAGTAAGCCAAAACCTTCTTTCTTAGGAGAGGCCTATGTCCAGCAGTGGACTATTAAAGGCTGTTGATGATGTAATGCGGTGTACCGACGCGTCGCCATACCCAAGTGACTCGGCTCTGAATAATATATTGTTTTATTTATTATTTCATTTCATAAGTTATTCTCTTATACACATATTTCTACAAAAAAAAACGATGTTTTACATCTGCCAAACGTTCTGCGACGTTCTCATTTACGACCGAATGGCGTAGTGGCTTGTGTAACGGACTGCTATTCCAAAGGTCGCGGGTTCCATTCCAGTTCAAGTCAAATATTTCTGTGCATGAACATTTAATGTTTGATTTGGTCTGGGTGTTTCTATGTATAGTAAGTATTTACAAAAAAAAAGTATATATGTATTTATATCAGTTGTCTAGTAGCCATAGTACAAGCTCTGCTTAGTTTAGGACTAGACGGCGTTGTGTGAATGTGGTACAATATTATTTATTTATTTTTAAAGCAATCTCTTCCAGTTACCATTAGTAATGTTTGGATCAATCAAAACGACAGTTTTAACTAAATTGTGTTCGTTATTCCGACAGAGTCGTGGTCTCACGGGCCTTAAGAACTTGGGGAACACGTGTTACATGAACTCAATCATCCAGTGTCTCAACAACACCGCCATACTAGTCACCTACTTCTGCAACGGACAGTACCTGGAACATGTCAACAGGTAACCTTAAATCTAAATATGAATACCAAAAAGCGGAGAATTCACGTAAATGTAAAACTCTAGTAAGTTGTTGTGTGTTATAAGCAATGATATTTTAAGGAAGATACGTTATATTCATACTGCACGCACAAAATATTTGTTCCATAACCATACATTTATTGCGAGTAATGCATTTTAGACCAAAACATACACTTACCTGTGATATGATATTCCTTTATCTCTATTTACCTGTTTGTCGTAATTTGTGTACTTTCGGAATACATAGGAAAGTATTTTATGAATTTTCTCGAATTAATTAATTAGTACGGGCGCTCGCTCGCAGTGGTCCTAATTAGGACCAATTTACATCACACGTTTTGTGCGTTGGTGGCTTATTCTACTTGTTTGTATAAAATATCATTGTTATTAGTATGTTATAATTTGATTTTTTATTTAAATGGTAACAACTCATAAATAAACTACCTGACGCTTTGACTAGATTATCTGCCTCAGTGGTGCAGTGGCAGCGTATGCGACTGCTGTACTGAGGTCTCGGATTCGATTCCCGGGTCGGACCAAATGTTTTTATGATCTACAAATATTTCTTTTGGAGGTTGGGTGTTTTCTATGTATAATATGTATTTTACATAAATACTACGACTATTTACATAGTATTTAAGTATTCCATCAGCCAATCTAGCTTTCATAGGACAAGCTCTGCTTAGTTTAAAACTAGATGACGTTGTGTGTTACATGTCTGAAAATATTATTATTATCGCTTCTGTGGTAAAAGATTAAAAGAGAAGGGTTTTATTGTCTGATGAGGGTATTGTTCTCCAGGTCCCACAGCACTCGCGGCGCTATAGCGGAAGAGCTGGCGGCGGTGGTGCGCGCGCTGTGGTCCGGACAGTACAGGTTCATCGCCACCAGAGATCTGAGGGTACGTACCCCTTAGTACCACTAATTAGCATAGATGCAAAAGTCATGTAACAGAGAGACCAACAAACCTTACACACGGCAGTCTGATCCCAAACTAGGCAGATCCTGTACTACTGTAACCAACCCTGCTGATAAACATACTTATATGTTTCTAAATTCATACATTTACAGGTAAATTACCCCCAGACCCACAACAAATGATGGTGCTCATTACACAATTACTTGTCCTAAATGGGAATCAAACCCACGACCTCTAGCTTTACAGTCACAATCACTAACCACTGTCTGTCTAGTCATCTGACTAGACAGACAGGCTTGTCTATTTCTAGTAAGAAACGTAGTATAATATGACGTCACAACGCAGTAGTCGCATCATTAAACTATTGATATTTGACATTTACATGTAATAGTTTGACATTTTGTGTTATTTCACACGACTTAATGTCACGAGCATTGTTATATTATTTATTTTAACTAGATTGTACTGTATTATTCAAAAAACAAGAGTTCGTTTGGCGGAGTTTTTACTATTTTGTATGTCTTATTGTTTTATTAATTGGTGACATTACAAATTTATGGCGATAGATAAATAGCGATTCTTGACTTGAAATAAGGTCACATCACATCATAGCAACAGCCTTTTCTAGTCCACTGCTGGACATAGGTGTCTCCTTAAAAAGGAGGTTATGGTTTACTGTACCACGCTGGCCAGACGGGTTGGTATAAAGTTTGTTTCAAGTTTGCCTTCTGTTGTTGTTGTCCTGTGTAGTTTGCTCCCTTAGTCGGCTCTTACGACACCCACGGGATGAATAGGGGTGGTGACACTCTGTATTCTTATCGGTGATGTGATGACTTGAAATAACATGAATTACAGAAAATCTCAATGCAAGTTAGTTGACGGGCCTGTTGTTCTGGTGGTTAGTGACCCTGACTGCTAAGCCGAAGGACATGGGTTAGATTCCCACCCAGGACAAATATTGTGTGATGAGCATGGTAATTTGTTCTGTGTCTGGGTGTAATTTATCTATAATATGTATGTATTTTAAAAATTATACAAGTATGATTATCAGCAGTCTGGTTACCATAGCACAGGCTATGCCTAGTTTGGTTTATTATTATTATTAGTTCTTCATATTTCGCTTATCGAATTCGGCATGCAAATGTACAATATTAATTTATATTGATATATATAACTCTTTCCTTCCTCCAAGCCCTTTTCGCAAGCTAGGTTGGGGTCAGCTTTAAATCCATACAAGAAGCGTCTGCCATCAGACGTCCACTCCAGCCCAGTTACTAGGCGATTTCGAAGTTCTGTAGAAAGAAAAACTGTTGTCGGACAATAGGGCTCCAAGTACCCGTAACGACTGTCACAGATGTTCGTATGGCAACCCGGACCGACGACTTAACGTCCAGGGCATGGAGATGTCGCAATGTGTTAAGAAATGGTCACCCATCCATATACTAACAGCCTTTAATAGTCCACTGCTGGACATAAGCCTCTCCTTAGAAAGGAGGTTTTGGCCTACTATACCACACTGGCCAGACGGGTTGGTATAGGGTTTATGTCAAGTTTTCGTTCTCTCTGCAGTGCTGTTGTTCTGCGTAGTTTTTTCCCTTAGTCGTACGACACCCACGGGATGAATAGGGGTGGTGACACTCTGTATTCTTAATCCATCACCACACGGACTGACCTCGCTATGATTGCTTAACTTTGCAATATGTTAATCTCCTAAGTTACCCCTTAGACACAAGCCCCTTTTATTTTCAAATTTATTATATAAAAATACTCATGTATCGCCGTAACGTTTGTTTTAGGTACATGTGTGTTATACAGAGAGCGGTCATTAATTATATGTGTTGTGTACCATAGAACGAGGTGGGCAAACACCAGCGTGCCTTCCGAGGCTGCGAGCAGCAGGACTCGCACGAGTTCCTCACCATACTCATGGACTGGCTCCATCTGGATCTTCAGTTCACTATCAACATGCCGCCACATAAGGTTAGTGTACATACATTGTATAATCTCCGAGCGTACCTCTCCTCAATTGGAGGTGTTAGAACTGGATTCACTAATGAAACACGGTTTCAAACACTATATTATTTAATTAACACTCGGGCTTTGCCACTGTGACAATACAATACGATACAAAAAACTTAGAAGTCTATCCGGTGACAAGAATCTTTAGGCAGATTTAAAAATGACGTCACTTTATGAAGGCCATCTAGGGATTCAATTCTCAACTATACATACATAAACTAACATGATAAAACTTCTGTACTCCTAAATAAAACATAAGGAAGGATTGTTGGGGAGTCATAAATAATTTTTAAAATCTTTGTTTATTAAATATATACGGTTTTTTACTTACGTGTGTAAGCCAAATCTGTGGCAGGACCCCAATCCTTGAGTTATGGCGCCAGTCTGTTCCGAAACTAGTTGAGCATCTCCTAAGTACATATGTACGTATAATTTAATTATATGTAATATTTTCTGATAACTAACACCCAACGCCATCTAGCTTCATACTAAGCATAGCTTGTACTATGAAAGCTAGATTGACTTTTTTTTTATTTATATTTATATTATACATAGAAAACACCCAAACTCCTAAAATATTTGCAGATCATACAAAAATTTGGTCCGATCCAGGAATCGAACCCGAAACCTCAGCATAGCAGTCGCATTCGCTACTACTGCACCACCAAGACAGTCAATAATGATGATTGCTTATTATTGTTAAGATTTATTTAAAAAATACAATTTTTACTTCATTTATTTTACTTTTACAAACAATTTCGCACTTTATCGTATCTGTATCATACTTGAGAGAGAAGAGAAACCTCAATATTGTTATCCAACTCTAATTTAGACAACCAAAACTTAACGAACTTATAAATATATGTACGTGTCGTATCTCTACAACAGGACAGCCTACCACCCTCGGAGAAGGCGTGGCACGAGTACACCAAGAGCAAGGAGAGCCTGATCCTGAGGCTGTTCTATGGCCAGATCAAATCCACAGTCAAGTGCACCGTCTGCGGCAAGCAGAGTGTCACCTACGAGTCATTCTCTAACCTGTCATTGGAACTGCCCGCTAACGCCAATAGATGTACACTTAGTGTAAGTAATCTTTATATATATAATTCTTCTGTGAGTGTGTATGTCACTGAACTTCTCTCAAACGACTGGACCGATTTTGATGAAATTTTTTGTGTGTGTTCAAGGGGATCTGGGAATGGTTTAGATTCACAATTTTGAATGGTAAGGGTGACCCATCCCTAATTTTTTTTTTGTTGCAATACAATGTTTGCCGGATCAACTAGTTACTGTATATATCATCATCCTCCGAGTCTTTATCTAGGTTGGGTCGGCCTTTCGCCTACTGCGACAAGGCTGAACTTCGATTTTTTGCGTGTAGCTACATCCATCAGACCTGTTGTCGAACTTTTTAAAACTCCCAACTACCCGTAACGATTGCCAGATGGTCGTATGGCAACCGGAACCCTCCGGTGTTCTTAAAACAGGTAAAGACAAAACAGTGCAGTTTTTTTCTTTCTATAAGTAGCTTAAGTGTTACAAGGAAAAAAATTAAAACAATTTTTTGCATCTATCTTACAATAGAGCTTTTCATGCAGAATTTAATTAATAACAGGAAGATTAGATTAGTGATTAATTTCCTTTAATATGCAAATCCAACAGATGTAGCACCACTTACCTGGTCAAATTATGATTTTAAAACATCCAGAGACCCACTCCACTGAATACTGAAAAATGTTGTCCAAAAGTTTAATAAGAATGTCATTTACATCCACCGAGTTAACTGTATACCTAAACTATCCAGGCTCACCACCACTCACCACAACCGTCAACCACTTCCCGTACTCCACCATGTGATCGACCTCGTTTTTGGGGTATTTCGGTGGCTTCTTTGCTAGGGCATCCCATTGCAATAGACTCACTTGTTCTGGATCACTAGTTTTAGTTGGTTCGAGTTCGACGTACCACTTCATCTCGGCTCTGGTTAGGTTAGGACCTGTCGGGTTCCTACCCGGAAAAATGTTTCCAGCAGACCCAAAAATATTTCATCAAATTATTCCAGAGGGTTAGAAGTTCAATGACAAACACAGGAATAAAAAAGAATTGTGTAAATAAGGTAGCAAAACTTCTCTAGATTATAACTTCTGTATTGGTGCAATCTAAAAATATTTTTTTCTTTGCCATCAGGATTGTTTAAAACTGTACCTGAACGGAGAAACCATACCAGGCTGGAACTGTCCAAACTGTAAGGAGAAACGCGACGCCGTCAAAAAGCTGGACATATCCAGGCTGCCTCCAGTCCTGGTCATCCACTTTAAGCGGTTCTATGTAGACCCTAAGGAGTACATGTGCAACGCTTATAGGAAGAAACAGACCTATATAGATTTCCCTTTAGAAGATTTAGATATGAGACAATTTTCGTTGCATTGTCCGAGCAATCACTCGTACAATTTGTACGCTGTGTCGAACCACTACGGATCTATGGAGGGAGGGCATTACACAGCGTATTGTAAGAGCAGTGTTTATGGCAAGTAAGTATTAAGTTAGTTATTTTGATGTGGTGACGGATTAAGAACAAGGAATGTCACCACCCCTATTCATCCCGTGGGTGTCGTAAGAGACGACTAAGGGAAAAAACTATGCAGGACAACAGCACTGCAGAGAGAAGGAAAACTTGAAACAAACCCTATACCAACCCGTCTGGCCAGCGTGGTCTAGTAGGCCAAAACCTCCTTGAGGTGTGTGGTGACTCCCACATACAAAGAAACAGAAACATACTACAGCGCCATCTAACGAAGACACACCGAACTACAGAGTAACTACTGAATGAGAATTGCTAATCCTGTATAACGTATTCATATAATAATATGAAGAATTCTCTCGCCGATTAGCATATATACAATTGCCCAACATCAACCGTTGGGCCGATGCTCGCAAGGCATAATCACGTCCCCTGGTCGGAGGATCCTCCCTTTATGTTGTAGGGCCATTACAGCCGTTCCTCCTTGAGGCCTTTGTCCAGCAGTGAATTACTAAAGGCTGTAGATGCTGATCAATTCAATTTATTTGCGATAATATGGGTTATACAAAAAGGAAAACAGGTGGAAAAGATACAGCTAGTTTCACCATATTAAGCCGAATGTCACAGCTTGCAAAAATTAACAATAACTAAATAATAGCCATTAATTATAACAAAAGAATATCCAGTAGTGTCATTGTTCTAAATAATAATACAGTTCTAAAGTTAAATAATACAAAATAAACAAATAATAATAAATACAAACTATAATATGTCAAATTAATACGTCAAAATTTCTAATTTTCTAATTTAAATTTGTCAAATTTCTGTACTGATGTATGTCGAACGTTTTGTTTGTCCAGATGGTACAAATACGACGACCACGTGGTGACGGAGATCTCGTCGAGCGAGGTGAAGTCGAGCGCGGCGTACATTTTGTTCTACACGTCGTGTGGCTCCACGCGCCTGTCGTGATGTGCCCCCCCCCCCCCCCCCCCCCCCCCCCCCCCCTGAGACACGCACTTCGCATTAGCTACGGGACGTCCACTCCGCCTCGCTACGGCGGGTACGTCACGTACTTACCCGTCTACGGATGACTAGTCTAACGTTTTATTTTTTCAAACCATAATGGCACAGAAAAATAATCCACAGACTCACATAGAGTCGTTTTTTGCAAGCCGTAATAGCACAGAAAATAAACCTTGGTCCATATGCTGTCGATACCTACATGTATAAAGATTCACGTCAATAGACGTTACTAAAACAGTGAATTCTTTGTATTAATAAATATAAGGAAAATATATATTACATATGTTCCTTAAAAATAATTTTCACCCCCACAATGATTTTGAAAGATGTAAATAATAATAAAACAAAAAATTCTCATCTACGAGTGAAATGCATTTAAGTTGTAGACACATTCAAAAATTTCTTCTAAAATGCATATATTGGACTGAATATATACCTAGCTACACGATTATAACTTAAAGCATTATTCTACGTGGTTTGTAGGGATGAAATAAAGTCACAATCACCTGTGATAAATCATATAATCACAACTGTAACTACTTTTCAAAACCATTGCGTCTTCTGATTATGATTACGCTAGCTCCAGACTCGCGAAAGATCTAAATTTAGAAAAAAAAACATATGGCATTTCTCTTTGTCTATGACCAAATCACAGTAGTGTTTCATCACAGGTGAAATCTCAGTGACTAAAACCAATCATTTCATCACATGATTATGATTTAAAAGCAGCAATAACTTCCATCACTAGTGCTTTGCTTCCAAACGTAATTTGAACTTGTCCTTCACGCATATAATATCCTTTTATCAATAATTAAATAAAATAATGTAATGTCTGGTCTACCTGTATGTGTAGGTCAAAGGTTTGGTGAAGGCCCAAGAAATGTGTGATCGTGCGTGCTCGAGTTCGGACAGTTTGTAGCTTTAAATTCTGAAAAGACAGTTATACCAGTTCTGTTCCCTGACTTTGCTTGTGAACAACAATTTGTCTGAGGATTGTTTTATTTATAATCCAGTGTTTTAATATAAAAGCAAGTCTTTTTGAACGCTGTGTCATGGATTATTTCTTTTATTATTTGCTAATTCACGCTGCCTCGTCATGTGGACAAGAAAGAGAAAGAAATAAGACATTGCTGGCGGTGAAAGAGACAACATATTAGTATGAAGACTCGTTACTCTATCGATTGTTGTGAACGAATTATTGTGAATAAAAATATCTTTGAAATATGTGTTATGATGAAATTGTGGTGAAATAACCATTTAAATAAAAATTGTACATATTTGTATTTTGTATTCGAGATTACATTGCAAGTAATATCTAAGTCGCGGTTCTATTCGCCGTCAAGTCTCATATGCAGTTAATGAAACGTCAAAAATAACGGGTTGTGACGTCACACTACGCCATAATTAAATTATTTAATTAATGAATTTTATTCGAGATTAATTCATCAATAATCCTCAAAACCGTTACACTTAGTATTCGTTTTTTTTTTGGAAAACAATTATTTTTTACTTGCAATGTGCTTTCCACTCAATTCTTAAACAAGCTCTTCCACAATAAGTTATGAATTGCATTAGCGGCGGAAATTAATAATCAATCATCTTTAAATCTACAAATTGACAGTACTATGTCTATAATTCAACGTTTTATTTTTTAATTCCCCATGGCAACTACATTATATACTGTGCCATATATAAACTTTTTTAAATTTGTTTGACACAATAATATTTAGATTTTCGATTGATTATTATTAATTTTAACCGATGTGTTGTTTCAGGATTCTATTTTTCACAAAACTTGTATGTTTTTATATCCACTAGATGGCGGGTCAGTCGACTTAACTGTAATTATATTTATTGATTATATTATATAAATTAGACTTAAAAATCTCAGCCTAACAGGGCCATGAAGAAACGAATATATATATATTCTTAATATATATTTGACTACAGGCCTCTTATATAAATAATTGCCAATATAAAGGAACAGAGCAAGCGGTGGAGTGGTTTTTGTAAAAAACCAGAGTTACAAGTTTATAGGTGTATAATTATTAATGTATAAATTATGTCTTGTACAAATAGCTTTTTCTATGTTAATTACATAGGTTATTTTATTAATTTATTGTACTGTTGTGTTTTATTTATTTATTTGTGTCTATATCACAGTTTCTTTGACAATTGTACTTGCATCAAAAGAATGATTAAATAGAGAGATGCAATATGTAAAACTTCTTTTAACCTTCGATTTATGAATTCAAATTTAAAATTTTGTATTAATGTTCGTAATTTAATTTGTATTACTGTTCGTACTTTAATTTGTATTACTGTTCGTACTTTAATTTGTATTACTGTTCGTTCTGTATGTATGTATATTGTGTCCAAAGATTCACTGTGATTAAGACACGTTTGCCCGGCTCTGGAATTGGTGAATAAGGACAGACTAAAATATATCATAATGAAATTTTATCATAGATAGGGAGGGGTTGAAATTTATTTACTGATGTGCACTAATACTTGGAACACATGAACTTTCAATCTATTTACTTTTTTTTAAAGAACTACACTAGGAATATACCCTGTGTCGCATGAGGCTTTACAAACACTCAGAACAACAATTTGTGGATCACACAAAGTGTTGTCCCATGTGGGGATCAAACCCACAACACTCCACACAGTAAATCACTGCGCCATCTGTACAGTCAAACGACCCCAGCATGAATTATATGTTATGAATGAAACAGCCTTACTGTTTATAACTACTTTGTGAAAATTGGCTTCCCTAAAATAGCCTTCTCAAAGCTAAGGACCAACTATCTTCCTTTTTCTTGAATGCCTGGGAATAGAATAATCGTGGTTTGAATTGAGGACTTATATGGCGAAGCAAAATTTTTCTAAATTTGAAATTATTACACTTTTGTGTGTGAGAAAAAGTTTGCTCTGAATTCAGTTCGATCAACCTTCGATCTCACAACTGACATAAAAGGTATTTGCATAGAAAAGTATTAAACATCCAACGTTGACTAAAATGTGACTACGGTATTGTAACCGAAAATTGATTCGGTAATCTGCTATTCTTAGGAATATTTTACTACGAAAATACCTTTTACGACAGTTGTGAATATACTCGTAGATGTAAAACAACCGATTTAAAACGTTTTAAATAAAATGTTGCCGTTTTAAACCCCAAATCAATCGTTTTTAAATGGTTGAAAACTCGCCTACAAAAATAAAAGAACTGTGTTTTACACTTTATTGTGAGCAATTTTTGGTCACCTGACGTCGTGTTTCGTTTTAATTAGTTTATAGAAAATCAATAGAAGGGACCTATCTACATTACCTACTACACGAAAACTTAAGTATGTAGGTATACCTACCTATAATTTTTTATTATATTACGCACACTAGATTAGAAGACATCGTCAACATAATGCCCTAAGTTTTACTTGCGAATGAAAGAGACAACGTTATGTTTTCAAGGCCGTCGTCGAGTGACGACGTCAAGGAGAGTGCGAGAGTGTGAGTTTGGTTTTAAACCGAATCAAATTGATTATTTATATCGTTTAAAAACAATGAAAAAAAAATGTTTATAAACCAACAGAGTTTTTAACTTATCAATAGAGTTTTTATAACTCAGGTAGGTAATACCTACGCTTGTTGGACGGACCAACTAGAACTAAACCCGCTAAGTATATCAATATCAGTATATCACACATATTGAAAATCTTTACACAATTTATAGGTACTTTGTCATATCCCTAAGTCGAATCGAGAAAATGTAGTTATAATTATGAAAAACACTCTTATCAACACCAACCCTTGTAAATCGAAAAAAAATGGTTTATTTCGGTTTTAAACGGTTATTTTTGTCTATCTACGACAATTGGCCTTTTGAACATACTTATTTCTGTTCAGTAAACTGAACTAATCAAATACAATAGACGATTCTGTACAAATATTTTTTGCAGTTTTTTTTTTGTATTAATTTCTAGAAATTTTTGTCTGTCTTTATAGCTATACTTACATAATTTACATTATTTTGTCTGTCTGTCATAGAGTGAATGATTTAAATGTAATGAATGAGACTGATTTAGTGTATTGTACGACCAGGTGTCTTCTGGTTACGCAGCGAAATGGCATGGCATCCCCTGCAGTCTCACGGCCCGTCTTTGGTAACGACCAGGTCTGGCACATATGGGCCAGGTCGACCGGAGCATTCCACGGTCTCTCGGTGTTAAGTAATTCTTTCGTTAGCTTTTCAAACGAGGAACAGGTTACCAGACATCCAATCACCTCCCCCTTACCCCTAATCTTCTGTATCGTGTCGTATCTTTTGAGTTTCTTGTAGTCTCTTGCTATCAGAAGGTCAATTCTCGCAATAAAAGTTCAGTCACAATTCAGTTCCGATCAACTTTCGATCTCAAACTGTCATAAAAATTATTTTCGTAGTAAAGTATTAAACGTCCAACGTTGACTGTAATATGATTATATCGTATTGTGATCGAAAATTGAATCGATGATCTTCTAGTCTTAGTAATACTTTACTATTTTACTACGATAATATCTTTTATGACAGTTGTGAGGTCAAGAATTGATGGGAATTGAATTTTTACCGACCTTTTATTATGAGAACTGGCCTTCTGGTAATTTATCTGCTCATTATACAATAGAAAAGCCTTCGACAAGCATGGTAACGACTCGCCTACCAACGGGGCCGTGAGACAGCGGGAATTGGTATTAGAAGTTGACAATTGTTGGAACACTTAGATTATTAAAAAATAATTCGTTAAAACATCGAAATATGTATCTGTAATATACAGAAATGTGACTGAAAATGTGTACTCTATGAGGAGGGTATTCTTATATTTAACATCACTTAAAACTGAAATGGCGTATATTATCTACTTCTTAATTTTACTTCTGTTATGAATGCGAAAGTTTGGACAGACAGTTTTGTTTCTTGCTTAGAACGGCATTACACTAGAATGGCTTAACGAACATTACTGAAATTTGGCACATAAATAGATTTTAGTCTAAAGTAACACATGGCTTTTTTCATACTAAAAAAATTGATTGACAAACTCGGTAATTCAAGAGAAGCCGCCAGGAAAAGCTGAACCTGATAGTTCTTTACTATCTCTTACGCGTTTCTGCAAACCGAATTCACTTAGGACTTCATTAAGTGTAATGAGTCTGGTAGTGCTCTTTCTTCATAAGTAGGGGGAAGTGGGGCAGATTCATACAAGGGGCACCGTCATACACTAGATACATCTGTTGTTAGGCGCATATCAACTGAACGACTTATCCGTGTACGCGTAGCTAACTTATGTGTGTATTGGCTCACGGAGTTTGACAACAGTCGGTGGGAAATTCGCGATGAGGTGACATGAAACGTGATTCGGCCACGCGTAAGTAATTTTCAAACCTCACTTTAAACATATTTTTTTTAATAAAAGCATTTTTCTAGATTTTTCAGTACTATTTTATTCAAAAGGTAATAGGATCAAGTTTGTAAATTGATACGTGAATAATGATATTTATAGTTGATTTTTTTTAGGAATATTTTTATTTCATTTTCTTGTGATGGGGTTGGTTCATACAGCAGCAAGCGGGGTACATTCATACTGTATGAATGTGCCCCACATTTTTATTTCTTCCAGATCCTAGAGAATATATACCGCAAACACAATTTAAATGCCGATCGGATTTTCAACAACGACGAATCTGGTATTTCTACTGTTCTGAGCACACTAAAAATTTTTGATGACAAGAGCCAAAAACAGGTTGGTCAAATAGTGTCTGTCGAAAGAGGAGAACTGGTCACATTTGGTGGTATTATTTCAGCAAGTTGAAACACCATACCGCCCTTATTCATCTTCCCTCGAGTACATTTTAAGGACTACTTCATAGACGATGCTCCAGAAGGCTCTTTAGGTGTAGCCACGAGAAGTGGTTGGATAAACTCGAGCATTTTTGTTGATGTTCTAAAGCACATTCAGAGGCACACCTTATGTTCGAAAGAAAATCCAATATTCCTTTTATAGGACAACCATGAAAGTCACAATTCTATTGATGCAATCAACTACTGCCGTGACAATGGGATTGTGTGCCTTTCCTTTCCACCTCACACGACTCACCGCCTTCAAGCATTAGATGTTGGAGTATTTGGACCATTAAAGTCGAAATTAAAAACAGCTTTCAATGACGCATGGCACGTTTCCAATCCAGGAAGAACACTTAATATTTATAATCAAAGAATTCAATAAAGACTGTTAGGTTAACTAACTTCCTACAGTGTCATAAAAAGAAAAACTACCTACATTTATGTTATTCTCTTTTTTACTTAGTATTATTTGGTTATTACTTAGTATAAGTTGCTCATATAGACTAATTGCTTTTGTTTTCGAGAACGTTGTGGTTTGATACTTTTATTTTGATGAATAATTAAACTTTTCATGCTAAACTTGTGTATTTTTTTACATGTATGAATCTGCCCCATAGCCTGTATGAGAGTGCCCCGTATGCGGGGTACATTCATACATTTTAATTATTTTTTTTAAACTTTTATTAAAAGTCGCACATGTGTATTTACACGAATTACATGTTCTTGAAATAAAGTCAGATAGTTAAACTACTAGTTTTTGATGAATTGATACAGATATCGATACCAGAGTAAATTCTATAACACGAAATATAAAAACTGTATGAGGCTGCCCCACCTTCCCCTACCTATTGACCTTTCTCTTTTGCCTCCCGTTGTTATAGGAAAGGGGGTAGATTAGTAATATTTCAGACCCAAAATACTTTAGATAATTGATTTCTTAAAAGTTTAACTTTCACTTCGACACGCTACTTCGTGTTGTCGTGTAAGAAATGTGCTGTCATTAGGGAAAACTATTTATTTCTTCCTATGCCATTGTAAACAATAAAAGGTCATCAATTTTGGTACTCAAAAACAAGAAAATAGTATTATTAATTAGTATGTTGCACTTAACTAGTGTTTTTGTAATTCCCATAAAAACAATCGTTAGTTAATAATTCAGGCGGGGAAATTACCCACCATTTATACGTTGCATCAAGCATCGCCAAAAATTTATTTCTAATAGAGTTTTAAATTACATCACTGTCTAGGGGTAACTGGTAATTTTATAAATTTTTTTCCTCTGCTTTCAACAGTTTTAATATTTTAATTACAACCAAAGCTACAGATGCCCTCAGTGCTGAATTATATTGTCGCCTTTGGTTTTGCCATAAACTAAAAAGTTCAAATTATAAATACGATTGGAACAGCCTTATAGCAGTCACGCCTTGCCTTTTTTTAGATACTAGATAATTTAAAACCAAACTGCATTTCAAGTTAGGTCAGTTTCCCTCTAGGGATACGATATGACCTTTTTAAAATATGACCCTATATGCTAAACACTAAAATTTTATTAGTGTATAAGAAACATGAGAGTAGGCCATTAGTGCACTAAACTATAGTCCATCAACGTCGTGCGCGACCGTCCTGCGGGGTGACAGACGGTGGCGGGGACGAGGTACTCAAAATGTCAGCGGGTAGCGAGTGGTGTAGCGGGGAAGGGAAACGCTTCTCTTCGTGTGTAGCCGTGTGCTAGAATGACGCGCTACCTCGCCCCCGCCACTGTCTGTCACCCCGCGGGACGGTCGCGCAGCGCGTAAGGAGCATCATGAAACACGGTCACAACATTCTGAATATTACCGAATATAACGAATCAAAGTGCCTAAATTGCACAATTAATATCTTCCTAGAACAACATACAATGCCATTTACAAGGTTTTGAGAAGAAAAACTACATTTATTTTCAACATATTTCACATAATTTATTGATAACTGTTGTATCAACAATTGTATATAGCATTATATAAATGGTTTTTTGTATGTAAATATTAATGTAAGACAAACTTTATTAAATTCTTTGTTAGTAAACTCGACAGTGCTTTTTACAGTTAAACACAACTCACCATAGAGACTGTATCAAACTATTTTATCTATACAAATAAATAAAATTGGAGTGTCTGTTTGTAATATTAAAATAACCGCTTTTTACTAAATGCATATGTATGTTTACACGGTACATATGCTAAAATAACATTTTTTACAATTTTTGTCTGTCTGTCTGTCTGTTTATTCCGGGTAATCTCTGGAACGGCTGGACCAATTTCGACGGGACTTTTACTGGCAGATAGCTGATGACATAAGGATAACTTAGGCTACTTTTTTTAGACTAGCTTGGCCCCGCGGCTTCGCCCGCGGTTATAACAACAAACGCGGGTAACACCGCGGGTCTCAGCTAGTCAAGAAATAAAAACCAGACGTCGTGGACGTATAAAAAAAAGAACTTCCCTAAGACAAAACTAAGGTATACGAGGGTGATCCGATAAGTACTTAGCCTACAAAAGAAAAACAAAAATTTTGGAAAAGTGGCGATTTATTTCCCAACATAATCTTTTAGCTCGATACACTTGACCCAGCGATTCTCCAACTTCTTTAACCCGTCTGAAAAATAAGTTTTCGGGAGGCCTTCATAGTAGGCCTCCGTGGCGGCGATAACCTCCTCATTCGACTCAATTTCTACCCGACGAGTGACTATTTCAAGTTTGGAAACAAATGAAGTCGCACGGTGCCAAATCTGGAGAATAGGGTTAATGGAGCAGCAGTTCGTAGCCTAATTCCACCAAAGTTAGCCGTAACGACCGCGGAACGCCGTCGTTGCCAAGTTACCCAAACTTATGCCATAAAAACAGTCAATAAATAAAAATATTTCTTCGAAATTTTACTGTTTCTACTGTTTATAACATCCGAAACGCCGAGTAATTTTTTTATAATAATGTCTTTGAGAGGTTCTTGAAGCTTCCTCTAAATCCTTAAAAATTTTTCGCTATATATTTAATAAGACTTATGTTGTATGTTCGGATTCTAAGTTTAAAAAACCGCTTTCATTGCCAACAAACTTTTCTAGAATTTTCGTGAGAATATATTTGTTGTCTTTCGTTTTTACCATTACAATTTCTAATTATTTAAATCTAATCATTTCTCCATACTCCATTTTCTTTAGAAACTCTAGTAAAAAAATATGATATAAAATACCTAGTAGTAACTATTTAATATATAACCTATAATAATAAATTTATTTGAATAATAAACTAAAAAATGCCTAAATTTCGGGTAATTTGCTCACGTGAACATTGGCAGCACTGGATATTTACATTATAAAATAAACTTATGTTCTAGCGAATGCAGATAGATTTTAATGTATAAAATCTAGAAATAAGTGATTGAATTATTCATTTACCTACCTATGAAACGTGATTTCTAGATTATTTTGCTTTCGGTCACTTTTTACAGCATTTCAGCACGCAAGACATGTTCTATATTTATATTTTTTCGCTGTATGTTTGCGTGGGAAACGGTGCCTGTAAATACAGCGAGCTGGCCGACTCTGTGTATTTTGCTAGAGAGACTATATCCGACCTTTTTTATACCTACATGCCAGGCGTCTGTTATTTCTACTAGCATCATTATTATTGTTATAGATTTTTCAACAATTGAACTTGTAGCATTTCTACCATTTTCACATGATTTCAATGCAATCAAAATAAATTGTTCTGATACAGCAAAGGAAAAAAAACTACTATAATCTGGTGTGTATTTCTATTTACCATTTAATCTCTGCTACTGTGCTTCTGTACTGCACTTAAAAGCGTGCTGCGATGATCGTATCTCCACAATCATTGACAAAAATCATTTAATTGTTCACTAAAAATCACTTGCCGCTCATAAGCATGTCCATATCAAGGATACAGTTCTCCATGTCCTCTTCCTCTTCCTCCTCATCGCATGCTGCACCATATGGCTCACTACCTGCAAAGAGTCAGGATAATAATAATAATCTTTATTGTAACAATAAAGATTACTATGCTGCTGTTGGGGCTGTCGTGGCGTTGTAGTGCGTCCGGTATGTTTGGGGAGACGCACACAGACGACTTTTACGCAATTTTAAGAAAGAGGACCGCATCCATGGCCGGCCTGTTGCGCACCGCTACTAACAGTGTCCTGAAGGTGTTTACGGATCGGTGGGACTCCCCTCAGTTGCGCCACTGGGCAAAGATCCACACCGGTCACAGAAATAATTGATTGTGTTTACTAACTTTAGTCCTTAAGTTTCTTTGCTTGTACTAACCCTATGGACTATGGCTATGACTATGACTATGACTATGTCTGAATTAAACGATTTGAATTTGAATAACAGGATTACAAACATTATACAGCCCTGATTGTGTGATGATGATGTGTGTAGAGAGTCAGTTCCTTCTCAAAGACAAGGTGAACAAATAGTTACAATAGTAGATACAATTTAGTTAAGTAAGTAATTAGATATGTTTCTGTATGGGTGTGTGTATATGTTTGTGAGGGGGTGTGTGTGTGTGGTATGAGTGAGGCTGGGAGAGAGGGTGTGTATGTGTGTGTTATGTGAGTGAGTGTGTGTGACATTATTCAAGTTTACATCAGTTCAGTATTTGTAGTGAGCTTTCAACATTATTTCAAAATTTAATTAAATTATGGCTTAAAGATATGTCTTTAAGCCATAATTTAGCAGAGGTCTATTAAAGGCTCTGATGATGATGAAAAAAGAGTTGTACTGAGATTAAACTTATGGCCTTCGGAAATTACAGTGAAATGTGTTAAAACCTCCACCACTGTCTACAACACTATCTAATGAAGAAAGGATTGATTTAATTACTAAAGCACACATAAAGGATCTTAAATATAAACCTCTGAAATATAATACTTACGAAATATAGAATTCGTTACAGACAAATTAAGCTCTTCTGTATTGCATAACTCATCATTATTCAAATTCTGTTGACTCCCATCCTCACTGTCCATAAAACACGTGTTAACTTCTTGTACATTTGGTATTTTTGCAGCAGTCTCCTGAATTTCCTCATCCGTGTTGATCGCTGTACTAGCAGGGACTGATATTTCTATTGTTTGCTCCGGATTTAAGACTTCAAGTAATTTTGCACGCATACTCTCCAAATGCAAACGTTCAATCTATAAAACAAAGATAGACTGATATGGTTTTTGTATTTTTCTTTCTTTTAAGTTCTCATTTGTTGTTCTCATTGAGGATATACTTCATTGGAAAGCTCGAACTTCCACGTAACAGCCAATTCAAGTCACTGGTATATGACCATGACTAGCTCTGACTGTTGCTTACATTTACATAAATCCATGCATCCAATGACATTGGAACGGAGTGGTGAAGCAGACTGCTGAGCCAAAGCTTGCGGGTTCAATACCTGCTCAAGTTAAAGATTTGTGTGCATGAATGTTTAATGTTTGATTTGGTCTGGGTGTTTATATGTATCAATGAATGTAACAAGAAGTATATAATTATTTTTATCAGTTGTCTAGTAGTGATAGTACAAGCTTTGCTTAGTTTGGAACTTGATGGCATTGTGTGAATGTGCTACAATATTACTATTGTTATTATTATCCTTATAGCCTTTTTTCTCTTATTGCTCTTCACTTCTCTTACTTCATTTCATATATAACTCACCATTTCCCATCTAAGTCCTTTTTTTTTTTTTTTTTTTTTTTTAACGTGTGGAAATCCCCTCGGACCGTCACCCCTCCGGGGTTTGCGGCGGGGTGGTGTGTCGGACTCGGACCGACTAAAAGCACACGGTGTGCCACTCTGCGCCTGTAACAGGAGGGATCCGGGAACAGCTGTTGTTAAGACATCCGGACCCCTCCTGGCGCCAGCCCGCTCCTGGTGCGGGCTCCGTCTCAATGTAGATGTTCCTCTCTTTAGGCGACGTCCGGCACACGCGGACGCCGCCCCCTCGCGGCTGGCCAACTAATGCGGGTGGAGGGGAAACCCACCCCGTCCACCCGCGGCCACACTCAGGGCGGCATGAGGCTGTGGTAGGCGGGCCTCCGCCGCCCGGTTCGCCGGCGGCGGATCGGGTCCGAGTGGAGGTTGTCCTTCCGGGCCCTCTCCGCCGCCTCCTTCCGCGAGATTACTACCTCGCAGAAGGTTGCGACCGCGGTAAAACAACTGTCGCTACCGGCCATGGAGCGTACTACGGCCGGTAGCGAGAGATCCACTCCGATGACTGCAGTGAGGGCCCGGCGCTGCGCCGCCCATGCGGGGCAGACCGCCAGCGTGTGCTGGGCCGAGTCCTCACTGCAGTCGCAGTGGTGGCAGGCGGGACTCAGTTCCCTCCTAGCGACCGTGTGCAGGTACTTTCCGAAGCAACCGTGCCCGGAAAGCACCTGCGTCAGCCGGAAGGAAAGGGTCCCGTGCTGCCGCCCTGCCCACTCGGCGATGACCGGCTGGAGGGCCTCCACGGCGGCGAAGCCAGCGCGTGGAGTCTCCAGCCGGAACGACCAACGAGCCATCGTGGCTCGGCGAGCGGCTTCGCGCCACTCGCGCACATCCTCGGGCGGAGGGCGAAATCCGCTCTCCGCCCGGTAGTCAGCCACTCGCCGATAAACTTCGGCGAGCACTTCCGCCTCCAAATCCCACGGGGGAGTTCCGGCCAACGCGCACGCCACCTCCGTCAAAACGGTGCGGTAACCGCGTATGGCTCTGACCGCCATTACCCTCTGAGGGCGCCAGAGGCGTACCCTATTCTGGGCGGTCAGAGCCGCCGCCCACACCGGTGCACCGTACAGTGCCATTGACCGGACAACCCCCGTGTACAGCCGTCTTGTCGCGACGCTGGGTCCACCCATATTGGGCAAAAGTCGCCCTAGGGCAGACGCAGCGCCGACCAGCTTTGGAGCAAGCTGTCGGAAGTGCTCGTCGAAGAGCCACCTCCCGTCGAGGATCAGGCCCAGATATTTCATCTGGGCCCGAACCGGTACGAGGACCGAGTTGACCACGATGGAGGCGCCGGGGGTGGACCACGACGGGGCCCATGGAATAACAGGGCCTCCGTCTTATCTAGGGCCACCCGTAAGCCCAGCGCCTCAATGCGCCCGACCACCAGGGAGACTCCCCCTGTGGCCAGGCGCGCCGCCTCTTGGAAGTTTGCCCCCCGGGCTGTCACGAGGGTATCGTCTGCGTAACAGATTACACCCAGCCCGGGGGGGAAATCGGCGCGAAGGGCCCAGTCGTACCCTATGTTCCACAAGAGGGGTCCAAGAACAGACCCCTGTGGAACACCGCACGACATGGGCCGACACCTCAAATTACCTTCTCGGTCCTCGTACACGACGGTACGCTCCTCTAAATAGTCTGCCACTAGCCGCCTCAGGTACTTTGGCACCCCATGATAGTGGAGTGCTTCCCTGATGCAGCTGAATGGCAGACTATTGAATGCGTTGGCGATGTCCAGTGACACCGCCAACAGCACGCCGCCACAGCTTACGGCCTCTTCGGTCACGGCCCTCAGGCGCAACACGGCGTCGACCGTCGAACGCCCCGCCCGAAAACCAAATTGGGCGTCCGACAGATCGGGGCCCACCTCGCAGAGGTGCCGGACGATGCGGGCAGAAAGAACCCTCTCAAACAATTTGCCCGCCTCGTCCAGCAGCACGATGGGCCTATAGGCCGCGACCGAATCGGCAGGCCGTCCCGGCTTCCTCAATAGGACCAGCTTCCCGCTCTTCCAGCACTCAGGGAAGCGTCCCTTCCCATCTAAGTCCTAAACTAACCCGTTGATGGCTTGCCTAATATACATACACATACATAAGTATAACCAAACTTAAGATTGCCAAGATGTGGGTATTAAATTGCTGATAGTTATGACCGCATATGCATCTGTAAACAATACTGTAGTGTGTGATTTCACATAAGTTTATGTACCATCTTTAATCTATAAACTACCATAAGACCAGGTCCATGCACACTTTAGACAGCAAGCTAAAAATCTGTGGCAGGCTCGACTTCTCAGGCTAATGCAGTGAGATGCCATGGTTACTTTGATATCCACCAGATATTACTTTAAAGAAGGCATCAAATTTTATATATTTATTTTATAAATAGGTTTATACCCTTTATGAACCAAAGTTTTGCATGCAATAGCTAACCTATATTAGCTGACCAAGTTTAGGCTTATATTTAGAAAGATAGTTACTTCCTGAAGAAGCTATGTTCACGGGAATACGCAGCCCTGGATCTACCATTTTTTCAAACTAGCTAGTAACTTAATAATAGAGCTCCTCTCTCCAGCGTCTGATATAGACTACTTAAAAAAACTCAGAAATATATGTAATGGTTGGCATTTTTTTTTATTACACCTTATTATATTATGATATTGGCGCCCCCTCAAACTGCCGCCCAGGCGGGTGTCCCGGTTTGCTATGCCCCCACCCCCTTAGATCCGGGGCTGGGAATACGTATTAAAACGACTGTTAACCATATGCAAAGAAATAAAACGGAAACATTACACCTACCTTTAAATGACCAAGAAACTAATTTTTAAAGTGTAGAATGAGTAAGGTCTAACCTGTAAACCATTTTTTTGAGCTTTAATTTTCTTCAAAGCTCCAATTATCCATTTCTCTTCAGCAAGCAGCTGTGCTTCTTCGGCTATACGCTGATTTAACTTCGCAGCTGGAGCCTGCTTATTATGAGCAATGTGTCTAGACTTTGACATTTTTTTAACTTCAGCTTTAACTTTTATAAATTATAAATCTAAATAGTTTTGTGGTACAATCAGTATCAAACAAAAAGTGTTTACAAGTTTCAAGTCACAATAACAAACCAAACAAATGCTGTCAACTGTCATGTCATGTCAAGAGGTCTTTAATCTTTATGGTTTTATCTCTGAAGAAGAATGCAAAAACATGTTTAGAGGCAGATTAAAAGTATTTTTTTAGTTTGTTAGTTACAATAAATACATAATTTAGAAATGTTTTTGGTTGTATCACTGTTTGGTGCTATACGTCTTACATTTTAATACAATAAATTATCATTCTTTAACAAATTGATAAATGTTGATAGATTTTTCGAATAACTTAAGAAGGTGAGCAATTTTTTAGACAGCAACTCTGTAAGAAATCGGTAACAAAAACCACCATCCAAAATAAAGTCATAAATAATAACCACGTTATTCTTCAATTCTAATACAAACAGTTGCATTTATAGGAAAGTATAGTTTACTGTCTTATAATTTTTCTATAACTGTTTCTTTTTAGTTTTTTTACACATATATTAGTAAATATACTTACATATTATTTTAAAACGACATGTTGAACTTTTAGTACCTACCATAAATAATTAAAATATCGAGTCAGAGTTAGTTCAAAAATTCCACAAGTACCTTCATTAGCGGTATTTTTATCAAGACGAATAATAAAATACGTTGCGATTCATATCCTTGTTATAAACGTTTCATTCTCAGTCGCGAACGCCTGATTGTTGTTTAAATATGAGTCATAATTCGGAGTCAGATGGAGAGTACGAGGTGTGTAATCTCCGTTCCAATGATGGTGCTTTGCCCTTCAATCCGTCATGTATTGAGGACATAATTTTAACAATAAGCGATCGTTTTAATTTTCGCGTGGTAATGAACGATAGCAGAACGAAAGGCGCTTTGCTGGTTACTGCAGGTTTGACCATTGCAGGCGGACTGATAGGACGTCACTACGGAGGGAAAGTTGGTGCCGCGGTTGGTGGTACCGTTGGTGGTGCATTAGGAGTTGGGTGTGTCAGTAAGTGACCTTTTTTCTAGTTTATAATTGCTAATGTAGTTTATCAACTTTTTACTGAATTGTAAATAACCACATTTACGTACCTTGATACTACTGATGTCTTAACATCAGTACTTTATATTAATGTATCTGAAAACTTATACTCTGAATACCTTTAAAAAAAAAAAACTTTCTCGTGTGTTCCCGAGCGAAGCGCAGAAAACGGTTGCTCAGTGCTGGTTTTATGGTAGTTTTTTTAGTAAAATTAAAAAGCAAATATTTATTTATTTATATTTAAATTCAATTTATAATTTTGTTTACAAGTGCTTTTTCTGTATATACTATTATTAAATTTTGATCAAAATCAAATACTGTTGTTATTGAATGACTGTTAAAAAGATAAATCTGAAGGTAGATGTTTGGAAATTTGTCCTCATTTGTTTTCTTATTTTCTAATATCCATACTGGTTTTTCTTTCTAGTTATATCAATGAGAAGCATATGGAACGACATCAAAGAGAAATTGTCGGAATTGTTTGAAATTGTCTACGATTTTCTGGCTGGCTTGGGCATAGACGATTACAAGAATGCCGCCAAGTTTTTGACCCAAAACGGTTTTAATGCACAACTCGCTATGGTCATCCTAGAGACTGCATCCACCATTCTTGGCAAGCAGATACTTTCTAGTCTAACTGCTGCATGATTTTTTTATTTGTAGGATCATCGGGATGTTAATTTATAAATGACATTTTTAACGGTTCTTAACTTCAAATGTAATATGACTGTTTAACTGTTTGCGGGGCAAATACTTAAACAGATAAACTGATCACTCATATATTGTCATCATATCTTAAATAAAATATGCAATTAGACTGTTTTTAGGAATTATTGACTATGAAAAGGTTGAATAGATGTAATTTATATTGTTAGTGATATTTTTAACATTATTGTAAAATAAAGACCGAGCATTTATATTATTATGACTTAGAATTATTGACACTTATTTTATTAAAACATTTTGATCGTGATTTTAATTTAACCGACATACATTACCTATAATATTTTTCAATAAATGAACATGTACTTACAACAATTATTTTCAAAGTAATAAAGGAATTGGAATTTAAATCAAGTGTTTCATTCATATATTTATTTATGTATTTCATCATCATCAACAGCCTTTACTAGTCCACTGCTGGACATAGGCCTCTCCTTAGGAAGGAGGTTTTGGATTTAAGTTTGAATTATTTTTGTTTGAATTTATTTATGAAATAACTATAACACAAGTTTTGTACGATAATTAAATTTATTAATTTATCAAAACATACAAAAAATACAAAATATAAACAACTTTATCAGCTAGGTTGTTTTGAGATCCTGAAACATATATTTTTACAAGTATTTAAAATAGCTTGCCTAATAGTGTGTTACTTTTTTCCTCTAGCAATAATAGGGGCAAAAACCATTGCCCCTATTTCCATAGGTAACACGGAATTGAGTATATGAAATGAAACATTAGAATTATAATGTTGAGTGAGTTTGAACTTGTTACAAGATACTTGTACAATATAAAAAAACCGGAGTTTGCGGCGTGGCGGTGTGTCGGAAACAAACTGACTAAAACCATACGGTATGTCACTCTGTGTTATTGATATATCTGGATCCCAATCCCAATCTGGATCATGGGAGGGGTCCCAGTGTCTACCCGCATTAGCACGGGCACCATTTTCGAGTGAATTCTCTATTTAGTCACTTTAGCGGATGGAGGATAAAACCTGTCCCATCCACCAGCGCCCACGCTTTTCCTTTTCATAATTCATTTGCGAATATGGGTAAACATTTACTATCTTAACTAATAAAATCATTGTTCTTTCACCATATTCAATCATAAGGCATGCAAAAAGAGAAAAGAGAGAGAGATAGATACATTTACATCCAAAATAATACTGTATATTTCGTAACAGTAATAAATTAATACACAATGTCATACAGTCTTAAAATAAAATGATAAAATGTCACACAATCATTTATTAATATTGTTCTAGCACAATAAAAAAAACTTCTAAATAAATAAAAACGTGTCTGCCGAGAACTCTCGAAGCGAGTAATAACATTTATCTACAAGCAGTTTTTGAAGACAGCTTTTGAATAATAATAATAAACAAAGGTTACAAAGGTTGTTACAAAGGTAATTTTCGTTCCTTCATATTCCACCTTGTATTGCATACAAATATTTCAATATACTTTTGTTTATAGTACAATTTCACTAAAACATTTCAAACATAATCTGAACATAATTCATGAGTCACGTCTATATAAAAATTGCATAAAAAAAAAGTTAATGTCAAAATTTGTGTCCAAATAAATTACAATAATTATTATGTCAATTAAATAGTAGATCATGAGTCAAATTAACTAAATTGTAGTAAATAGAATAGTTGTGTACTTTCAATATTCCTGAAATGTGTTGATAGTTTATTATATGTGTGGTTAAACTTCCTTTCTTAAGAGAGGCATATGTCCAGCAGAGGACTCTTAAAGACTGATGTACTATTAAAGGAATTTATGACGTGTGGTGCAGTACAGATAAAGCATTGAAACACTTATCTGGCATTACTAATAGTGATAGTAGGATATGGTAGTTCTTTTGTTTATTAAGTTAACTATAATTTTTATAATGAAAATTTTAAAACAATGTTTTAACGACACAAAAACAGAAAAAGAAATATTTACGTAATGAATGCACTTACTTTAGTTTTAGTTTATTACTGGTTCCCAAAAAACAGTCATATCTAGTTTAGGAACCAGATTTAAATTACCAAATTTACTTTTAAAATGGAATAATTTGTGATACATTGAGCGGACATCGGCGCGACGGCACTGACTGCCCGTAACACAGGTTCATCCCGAGCTCGGGAGCAATGTCTGTAGCGTCGTTGACTTGCGGGTGAACAGATTGTATTAGTTTAAGAATAAGTAATTGTTATTTTTATTAAATATGAAAATATTATGTTTTAAAATCTCTCTTTCACGTTATAAAACAAGAGTTACACTATAACACAGTATATTTATTAACTAAACAGTTAATAATCATAACGAATAGACATTTCATTTACAAGACTGTTACTGTTGCCATATAAAAAATATTTCACACAACTTGAAGTCAAACTTATACTACCTTACTTAACAATATTTTTCTTATCTTTAATAATTAAAATCAGTAGCCAGAAAAAGATCTTGTATTTTTATCAAGTATTACTTAAACACAACAACATTGCTTTAGCTTGACTGCACGGATGGCGTAGTGGTTTAAGCGGTCGCCACGCCGCTTCCTACTGCGCCGAGTGTTGTGGGTTCAAACCCCACATGGGACGACACTTGTGTGATCCACAAATTGTTGTTCTGAGTCCGGGTGTTCTTTGTGTCCGTTTCATGTATGTTTGTAAAGTCCCCCGCGACACAGGATTTATTCCTAATGCGGGCGTTGTCTTTTAAAAAAAAAAAAAAAAAAAAAAGAAGCTGTTGGCAACACTAAATACGGGTATTCACCAAAAATTGTTATAATCGCATCAAATATCATGATTGTAAAGAAAGCGGACAGTTTATGAATCTAATTTAGTTACAAAGGTTTCTCCCTTTTATCTATTTGTAAAGTAACTGGTCCAAAATCTTTTGCGGTTTTTAGTGGTTCACAAATCATTTGACTTGGCGGACGTTTTATTTATACGTTGGTTACCGTGCGCAACGGTGCTATATTGAAAAATTACAAAAGCCTTTCATTAAAAATATGGAAACTTGCCTATAGGTTATGAAATGTTTATCGTGCAGTAATAGCAATAGTTCAGTGCAGTAAATATATGTTTTTTCTGTCCATACACTGTCTTCAGTTATAGTGACGTTCATTTTTGTTGACTTGCCAAGAACTTATTTATTTTGGTTACTTCGATTGATTTCGTTTTTAAAATAGTGCCACGTCAAATATTTAGATTATAAAATGGATATGCAAGTACAAATTCGTAATGATCATCAAATGGCCGTAGATAATTGGTTAGAACAAGTGCTTTTCTACATTGGTGAGTACAAGTTTAATTTCGAAATAAATATTTAGCTTGTATATAAACTTATAAACACGAAAGTGTAATGATGAAATCTTTCTTAGAATTCCTTATAATACAAATGCTTACTCCTTGTAACTAAATGACAATTTATATTATATATAGGTAAATATTATTAAATCTATGTTAATGATGTTTGTTCCACTTTCTAATGATTGTGTAAACTAAATTATTCAATGTTATATGCGCTACGATGAGTTTTAATGCCATTTATTAATTACTTTTTAATATTATTTCAATAAACCTAAACCTAAAACCTATAAACCTTCTTTCTAAGGAGAGGCCTATGTCCAGCAGTGGACTATTAAAGGCTGTTGATGTGTGATGTGATGTGATTATTTCAATTCTTATCCCTATGAAATCATTATAAATATGAAATATGAATGCATATATATAATGGTAATTATCTAATTGAGTAAGATCAAATAAGGTATTATATAAATCTGTGTTTGAAAATTTGATTATCTATGATAGTCTTTGAACAGCTTGGTGTTGTTGACCTAGAAAGTTTAAAATAAAGAAGAAATAAACTTTCAAACTAGCCAGGTCAGCTTCTTGTAATTCCTTATGTCTTCAAAATTCCTTATGCATTGCCAGGAATTTCTAATTCAAGATAAAAATGAGATATATATATATCTTAAACAGGTCTGGCTTAAGATATTCTTTGAACTCCCAAATCAATGCCTTCTCTTAACTGCGTTTCTTTTCAATATGATTTTCATTATGATTAGTTTTGACGGGTCCATTTTACTTGTGACTGTTGATTGCTAATCCACAGCTTGTGGGTTAGTTTCTCACCCAAGACAAGTAATTCTGTCATAGGCATAATAATTTTATTGTGTCTAAAGAGTTTTTTTCTTTATTTCTAAGAAACTGACATATACATTTTTGTTAGGATAAGGATATATTTGTCATCATCAAAAATTAGGGTTTTCTGTACATCAAAAAGTTGAAACACCCTGCTAGTAATTTAAAATTGGATTCGTATTTTAATATATGATGTCCGATAAATTAAAAAATTTCACAGAGAGAAAAAACATGGGACAGTTTAAAATATAGGTAAATAAATTGAAGAAAACAGGTTCATAGCAAACAGAATCAGAAAGTAAAACATTTTTTTTTTAAAAAGCTTCATATGTGTGATACTTAACAATGTTAGAAATAGCTTGATTGCAATTTATCTTTAAAAGTTTAGTTATTATAAAAATAGCCTGTTGGTCTAGTAGTTAGTGAACCTGGTTGCTAAACCAGTGGTTGTAGAATTGATTCCCATCAGAGTAAATAAATGTATGAAGGAAAGAATCCAAAATTTCTTCTGTCTGTTTTTGATTAGTCTAGAATATGTATGTATTTAAAAATATACATGTGTTTGAATATACAGCTGTCTGATAAACATATGTATATTCTGTAGACACAGTAAGACACTTCTACAATTTTTTTTGGAATAATTTCATTGCGTGCATTGCATTTCATTTTAAAATTTTCCTGGGACATCCCGAGTGTCATAACTCGGTGTGTTTGTGGGTCACAGCTGTTGATCCTGGTGTACAGGAGTTACAGTGGATGGCGTGTAGGAGGGATTAGTCCCATATAAAGCTTAATTTTAGAGGAGATGGGCTTGTGTGAGACATATCAAATTGTTAAACAATGTTGCTGTTAAACATATTTTCAAAAGGTAAAAAAGGAATCCTTATAGGATCACTTTGTTGTCCGTCTGTCTGTCTGTCTGTCCGTGTGTCACCACCGATTTTCTCAGGAGCGGGTAGAAAGTTGAAATTTATACCAGACACTGAGGTCTATGGTCCCTATTAGGTATATAAAAATCAAGGTCCTGAGTGATAAAAAGATATGGGCAAATTTCGATTGTAGCGAAAACTTGTAAGTCCCAAAATTTACCTTGATTTTCAACTTTTTTATTTTTCAGAATTTTCTCTTTACTTGTTCTGTAAGACCTTTGATTTTAACCAAAATTGACAATTTTAGGTCAACCGTAAGTACCCTATAGGTTTTGGGTAGAAAACCTATATGGTTGTTCCCGTTGACCTAGAATCACGAAATTTAGCAGAAAGAAACGTCTTACGCACAAATAAAGGAATAATTCCAAAAAATAAAAAAGTTGAAAATTAAGATAAAATTTGGTACTTACAATTTTTCGCTAAAATCTATGTAAAATCTGGGTACGGAACCCGGAGTTCCGTACCTATCCAGATCATACCTGACTGGTTTTTTAACTGCTCTTTCTGTATTGCAGGAGATATATTTGAGATCCGCATAGTATGGAATCGCGAAACAGCTGTTTTCACTACTGTAATGGCAGTAGCAGGCGGCATAGTGGGAGGTTTAGCAGGCGGTCGGGTCGGCGCAGCTCTAGGTGCTGGCATCGGAAGTGCTACTGGATTAGGAGTCTCTAGTAAGTATTTTCTGAAGTACAATAGCACCAGCAGTTGTCAAATTCAACCTGTGAGACGATATTTGTTTAAACTGAGTGCATTCACAATAATCAATCTATCAGTGTGGTGACGGATTAAAAATACGGAATGTCACCACCCCTATTCATCCCGTAGGTGTCGTAAGAGCCGACTAAGAGACTAAACTACAAGACAACATCACTGCAAAGATAAGGAAAACTTGAAACACACCCTATACCAACCCGTCTGGCCAGCATGGTATAGTAGTCCAAAACCTCCTTTCTAAGGAGATGCCTATGTCCAGCAGTGGACTATTATAGGCTGTACTAAGTTTTACCCAACTACCTATGATCGTGATCGTTTTTGTGACAACATTTTTAGTCGAGACAGTCTTGTAAAAGAGCAAGCGGTCTATTAAAAGAGGTAACTCACTATTGGTAGGTATTTAGTACACATATGCTATCGCATTGGGCTAAACATGTAATGATAGTTGCTTTTAATGGAAATATATAAACTTGGCAACAAAGTCATTCTTTTATTGTTTTCTTTCACTTTTTTGTGCCATACTAATATGGCACAAAAAAAACTGTATTTTCCTCATGTACTTGTTAATTTTTTTTTATGAATTATGTGGGTCTAAGCCATAAACAAAGAAAGTAAGGATTGAAAAGAAGTTAAAAAATATTGCAGATATATTTTTTTTTTAATTTAAAAAAGACAGCTCTTACATTAGGAATACATCTTGTGTCGTGGGGGACTATAAACGACACAAATAACACCCAGACTTAGAACGACAATTTATTGATCACCCAAAGTGTTGTGCCATGTGGGGATCGGACCCACAACACTCAGCGTAGTAAGCAGCGTGGCGACCGTTTAAACCACTACGCCATCTGTGCAGTCGAACCATTGCTGTTACTTTGAGAAAGGATAAAGTTTCTTTAAGCCTCTTTCTTCCTTTAGGAATAATGTGTAATATAATATTGATCGGTATTAAAACATTTTTTTTATTTCAGCTGTGTTGACACTACGTGAAGCTTGGGCAAGAGTTAAAGAGAAATTAAGGGAAGTGCTGTATATAATTCTTAACTATCTCCGACAGTTAGACCCAATCGACTATGTCAGAGCTTTTGAAGTTCTCATGAACTGTGCTCATAGCCGCAGAGAACTCGTTTTGACAATCTTAGATTTTATCTTTGACAAACTTGGCAGGGAAGTACTATCAAATATCAACAGGCATGCTATTGAATGAAGTGCCTTAAAACGCCTTAGTGGCTTTAATGGGTCTAGGTATATATTATTTTAAATATATGCATAGTTATTTAAGGTTTATATATGAATATACAACATTTAAAGATTTAGGAGAATTTCGGTTAGTAAAAATATAAATAAAAATTCTTCATTTTTTAATTACGTAATTGAAAATGTGACAATTAATTGTGTAATTAATTAATAATTAATTACATGAATAATTAATTAATAATTACATACTGAAACAGGCTCATGCTTGTTTCGTATCTGATTCCAAGCAATTCTAATTTCAACATTTAATTTATTTTTTTAACATACTGTTAACTTAACCTATATAATGTTATCTAAGTAAACGTTCTTCTGTAGAAGTAGTTTATAAAAATAATTTACATGAAATTAGTAATATTGAAAAAAGTATATTGTGATAAAACTGTTGATATTTTTCATAATTAGTGAATATACACAACACGCGTCTGATCTTATTTATAAAAATATAATATTATCTGGTATCTAGATACTATTATTAGAAAGCTGGAAAGGCTGTTTTCTAGAATGTTTAACACACACCTTTGGGCCTTTTTTGGTGATGGTTCTGCATAAAACAATGGTCTTAACATCACGCTATGGCCAATACCCAAAACTGGTACCCCACCAGCGGTAGTGATAATAAAAAAAATATACATCCACAACTATGGTCACTATTATTTAAAATTGATTGGTATAAAGTCGAAAAAAGGAGTAATTTAGTCTTTTTAGTGCAATAAAAATAAGAGCATAATACAATGTTACCTTCACTTATAAAGTGTTTTTTTTTATTTAGTCTTTTTGCACAAAAATGTGGACTTAATCCAAAGATAAATTGTGGTTTATACAATCTATACAGTTAATACTTATTATGTAAATGGTTGTAAAAATTTCAAATAAAAATTATACCTATCATGAATTGTAACAACTCGATTTGTGTTTTATCTGTGTATAACGGGACAATGATTGGTAATAAGGCCTAATCTATATATAATTAGACTGGCGTTGCTTTATTTAATTGTCATGCACAAATCATAAGTTAATTAGTTAGAAATTTTTGATGATGCAGAAATAAAAATATGGAAGGTGCAACGACGGAGTACTGTGCACTATGGCGTACATTGGAAAAGGCCTATGTCCAACAGTGGATTGTTAAAGGTTGTTGATGGTGGTGATGGATAATTTTTAAATTATATCAACATTTATTATGGGTCTTAAAACAGCACATTTCACGTGTTCTTAGAATTAAAATAGTATTTATAATGTTGTGTTTAAATAAGTAAATGTGGGGCCAGAGTTGAGCCAGCGATAACATCATTCCCAGGGATTCCCAAACTATTTTAGCAAAGAGACCCCTTTTCTATAATTAACTGATACCTCAGACTCTCCGATAGCCAAAATACTTCAAGCTTATCGACTTGTTGAGTTTTTTAAAAGTACAACAATGATACTTCCTAAATATTAGTAATTCTTATAACATGTTGGTACATATAACACCTCTAATACAGTATCTTGAAAGTTTCAAATAAGAACTTGTTAGGGGTCGATTTTTAGACCTCGTCGACCCCCAAAATCAGTTTTCGTTTATCCGTTCATAGGCATTAATTGTTTCTTTGTCTAAGTCGTTTAGTAATCATGGTGATACTAGTTTAGCTCGACCCCTGGGAAACCGAATGCGACCCCGAGGGGTCGACATCGACCACTTTGGGCATCCTTGGTGTAAAGCTACGAAAGAATGGGTTAACACCGGTTTTTTGCGAGGCCGTGGTACCACAGTCATAGAATTAGTTTTGTAATTGATTTTGATACAATATTCATCACAATTAGTGTGTTTTTTTTATTGTTTAGGGCTATTAATATTGATTTAGTGTTTATTAGATTTTAAAGTGTGTATTATTTGTTTGTTCTTTATGTATATGTTGATCCTTTGAACGCCATTGTCACAAAAGTGATGAACAATATTTTTTTCTTTACAAAAATGTATTCTGTTTGGTTTGTCCTATTGGTATCATATTTTTTTTAATATGTAAATGACAATGGCGTTTAAAACAGGAACATTATTGACAAGCTGGAGTTAGGTATCCGTTCGATTGACTTAGGTATCGTTTGATGTGACTTTTACAATATTATTACAATAGAATTGTATAACTTTGCTCAATTTATGTAATGATTTTTCATAATATTGATAACGGACTTGTGTAGTCCCTCCTTCTTACTTGGACATGAAAATTAAATATAATATAATTTTACAATTACATTAAATTATTTCTTTCCTTTTTCTGTTTGTAATGTTTGTGCTTTATAGGTTTATAATAGTTAATAAAATAAAATATATTTTTCAAGAATTCTTGTTTTGTCAATTATTTCATATTATTCTAACATAGGCACTGACGCTGTGATCGAGTAGGTTAGCACATTGCAAAGTTAAGCAATCCTAGCCAGGTCACTCTATGGATGGGTGACCATGCTTAACACATTGAGACCCCTCCGTGCCTCGGAGAGCACGTTAATCCGTTGGTCCCGGTTGGGGTATGAACATCTTTGGCAATCGTTACGGGTAGTACAAGCCCTGAAAGTTTTTCTACAGAACTTCGATACCGCCTGGTACTTGGGTTGTGGTGGTCACGTAAAAAATAATTAAATTCAGCCGTACCGTAGTAAACTAAAAGCCGGCTCTAACCTAGTTTGTGAAGACGCTGTTAGGGACTAGTTCAGTTCCCAATAGACATGGCAATTATTGCTACTTTTTAATAATATTCATTTGATGAAATGATTGTCACAGCGATTTCACATGTGATTGTGATTTTGACATAAACAAAGATAATTGCAATAAAAAAAATCTTTTTATCAAAGATTACCTTTTGTGTTGTTCGTATTCGGTCTAAATCTGTGAAAAAGTAAAAATGATGTTTCTTCAATATTGCAGTAATTTAAAATTTCATTTTGCGGTCCGCCCTGGCTTCGCACGGGTGCAATGTAGATACTACTACTACTAATGTAGTGTCAGTGTGGAGTAATTAATTATATTATTATTATGATAGGACTATTAATAATACTACAGGACATCTTTAAATGGATTATTTATAGGCCCACTTAAGCCCTGGACGCTCGATGGCCGTTGGGCCTCCGCATTTTAAACCTCCAATATCTTCTAAATATATTTTAATGGTATTTTTTTTTTACCATTACATTCAATGAATCTATCTAACGTATTTTATTGAATAAGGAATAATAATGTATTGTTTACAGCTTCTTAAAAACCCATTATTTTTTTGCAATATTTAAAAGATAAAAATGGTTACTGTGGGTTATTCGTAGAAGATAGACATATACTATTGCGGACTTTTTTGTAGATCTTTTTAAGATATACAATTCCGTTGAACGAAAAAACGCAACGTCATCGAGAGTCGAAAGAAACTTGTGTCTGAAATTGAAACTTCCTTAGCGGCGGTTTCAGATAGGGGCCGACTAAATCTAGTCCAGTTTAAACCAAAAAAGGTACAGGTATGTGCGCACCGCAAAAAAGATACCATTTGTCTTATCACCTCAGTTTGAGAGCACCTCCCTAACTGCCTCAGCCAGCATCGGAATTCTAGGCATCGACATATCGAGCGAAGTCCAGTTTCGGGGTCACTTAGAGGGTAAGGTCAAATTGGCCTCGAAGAAGCTCGGTGTCCTGAACAGATCTAGGCAGTATTTCACTCCGGCCCACCGCCTTCAGCTCTATAAGGCGCAAGTCCGGCCGCATATGGAATACTGTTCTCATCTCTATGCAGGGGCACCTCAGTACCAGCTTCTCCCTCTGGACCGCATCCAACGAAGAGCGACTCGAATCGTCGATAGCCCAAACATCTCCCATCGGCTCGATCCCTTGGCGTTACGTAGAGATGTGGCTTCACTCTGCATTCTCTATCGCATATATCATTGAGAGTGCTCCGAGGAATTGTTCGTACTGATACCAGCCGCAAATTTCCGTCATCGTTCCACACGGCAAAATTTTCATCCTCATAACCTGGATAGTTGGCGCTCCACTACTGTGCGCTTTTCGAGACACTTTTTGCCACGCACAACCAATCTGTGGAACGGGTTCTTTCGGGTTCGTCTGCGGTATTTCCGGATCGATACGACCTTCAAACCTTCAAGAAAAGAGCGTACTTCTTCCTAAAAGGCTGAGTTGCAGACGTTCATGGGCGGCGATAGTCACTTTCCAACGGGTGACCCGTCTGCTCGTCTGACCCCTCTAAAATAAAAAAAAATAAAAACATTATTTTGGTCTATCTCGTAAGGTTTAGCCAGCGTTCGCAATGTAAGCGCACAAAAACATATATTATTTTTTATGACAAATCTTAGAAATTTTCGGATGTTCTCTACTATAATATGCACGTATTATACATATAAACCTTAATCTTGAATCACTCTATCTATTGGTGAAACCCATATTAAAATCCGTTGCTTAGTTTAAGAGATTTAAGCCTGCAACACAAAAAAAACGACTTTATGTTATACTATATAAAGATAATAAACGTTCTTAGGAAGTCTGTCCAAAAATAATGACTCCATCAAGAATAAAAAGCCATTTCTGGACAACTCCTTTGCTACAGATTTTCCACATACGTACGTCAGATAAGATTGAAAAAGATCGATCATGTCTGACACGGCCAGTGCAGTGTGCACAAATGACTTCGAAAAATCGGCATTGTAATAATAACCGTCTCGACAAACGGTTTTTACATCACCCCAATGTTTAATATTCCTCATTTTACGAATAAAAAACTACCATAAAATATTTTAGATTTTATTCTACCAATTTAGTGTAATTTTATAATACATAATAATATACTTTAGTACAACCATTTCTAGTGATAGAAAACTGTGTATCGATCCGAGTTAAAAACAAATAATTTTTAACGTTTTTTTTTAACGTTATAATTATGTTACTCAAGTATTCCTACCGAATAGTGTCGATACGTCACTTATTTTGCATGTCAGAATAGACTGACGTAATATATGATTCTCTTATAATAACTATAAACAGCCCATGTACCATATGTCTGCAATTAAAGTATCATTTTCTTTCATTTTATTTCTTATCTCAATAAAATCTTTTCGTTCTCCACCGCTGACTAACACTCTCTAAGCCAAGCAAGGGTTAGGCGGTACAGACTCACATGGCGGTTCCCGGAACCTTAAGAAACACTTTGGTTTTGACGTGACAACGTCTTATAAATTGGTTTGCCGGGTGACACTTCAAGAAACTGCGTTACGCTCCGCTCACGTTATGCGCTCACAATGAGAGCGAGTGAGAGGCACGCGTCCCTTCCACTCGGGCATGGTTAGCCCGCCTAAGAGCGAGAGAGACAGACATAAATAATTCTTTGTATAAATAAATGTTTTAAATTGTTACTATTATTTCATCCTTCTTCCTACTATACGAATGAATATTCACATTAAAATTATTTTACCACTCAAAGTCGTTGTCACGTAAAACTTTCGCCCGTATACCGACTTTACAGGCAACCAATTTTTTTTTTTTTACTCCGTTCACTCAAGGTCTACTCGAGCTTCTTAGCTCTCTCGTTAATCAGATCCCAAAGATCACTTTGCAGTTATAAGAAGTAAAGATTGCAAGAAAAGAGCGTACTCCTTCCTAAAAGGCCGGCATCGCGTTTGTGACTCCTGAGTTGCAGACTTTCATGGGCGGCGGTGGTCACTTTCCATCAGGTGACCCGACTGCTCCTCTGCTCCCTCTAACATAAAAAGATAATAACTTTTTTGTCAACAATTGATCTTCAAGGAGTGACCGTTACGGTTCGGTTTCGGCACACAATAATAGTACCTACATAATATAAAATTACTTCACCAGTTTAGCATTATACATTTGTATTTATAGTAAATATAAATAAAATATTAATCCTTTTTAATAAAAGATCTATTTACGATAAATTACCTGTAAATTAAAAAAAAACTCATGTTTAATTCTACCTTAGAATTGTTTATTTCTATTTTAACTTGTAACCCTCAAGCGGCAACACTGATCACGGGGATTTTTAACGCTCTCGTTAGCTCTGAGATATACTCTGTACACGAAACATTTGTAGTCGCGTCAACTCGCGTCATTGAGTGTAAATCACTGCGGTTGGGCGGGTCCCTGTTCCTTTATTATTATACGAGAAAAAAGACAAGATGGATATGCAAATGCTGTTATATAACAACCACGGAGTGCATGTCACAACAAGCTTCCTGGAAGAACTTCTTTTTACACTCAGTAAGTGCATATTAAAATAATATCCGAATAAATTTAAATAGAACAACAACATGATTTCATCACCCATTTTTCTGTTTTTTAACCGACTTCAAAAAAGGAGGAGGTTCTCAATTCGACTGTTTTTTTTTTTTTTTATGTTTGTTACCTCATAACTTTCGACTGGGTGAACCGATTTTGATGATTCTTTTTTTATTGGAAAGCTGGTGCTTCCCGTGTGGTCCCATTTCAATTTGGTCTAGTCCTGACCATGGAATCCATGAGAAAACCATTGAAGTCGGTTTTTTTGTTAAAATTTTACTTGTTACCTGAACTTTTTAACTCGTTACGAAGAAAGATTAGGTAACATACCTAATCTTTCTTCGTAACGAGTTAAACGATAGTCACTTTCCATTGATTTGTTTCACATTAATTGTATCTATAAATTTGAAATTATTTTTCGAAGTTGGAGGTTTTTCATGGTATAGAACAAAAGAGCAGATGGGTCATCTGATATCAGACTACCACCGCCCATGGTACGGTACATGGTATGGTAGTATGGTACCCTTGGTGTGCTCCTTGAGGAGGGTTTGGGTTATGGCTCCAGTAACCTCTCTCATTCACACAACAATTGCTTTATATTGGTTTTCTGTAAAGCCGTGGCTTCACTCCGATCCAGCCTAGTCTGTGTGCCGTAGCTTGGCTCTCCCGCGTATAATATTTGATATACTTTTATAAAATAATAAAATATTAAAATATTCTTTTTATCAAAGATTACCTTTTGTGTTGTTCGTATTCGGCCTAAATTTGTGACAAAGTAAAATTGATGTTTCCTCAAAATTGCAGTAATTTAAAATTTCAAAAAAAATAAAAATATTAATCCTTAAATAAAATATTAATCCTTTCCTTAATTTTTTTTATTTTTCCTTTTTTTTTGTAATTCATGTATCTATCGATTTTTCTAAACTACGTGTCAGATAATCAAGAATATTATGTATTTTACAGCTTTATTTAAACATTTACTTGAAAAATTACACATCTTCTAGTTATTTTATAAAAGTGACCTTTTTTTCAAATGTCACAATCTAAAGTCGCTTCTACATTCCATTTTTAATAGAGTTTAGATTCGTCAAATATTAAATACATTTACAGTAATACTTCATCAAAAATCAGTACAATAATTACAAAGTATTACTATGTGAAAATAAAAACATATTCCCTTATCTTATTTCTACACAAAACAATGGTGTCATGTCCGGTTCCTATAGGGGAGACCGAGGGCACGGTACAATTATAATACAGTACTGTAACTCGGCCGCATGATAGAAATAAATGCCTACAGCCGCGCGGTACGTAAACATGCGTTAGGGCTGCCCGTCTCCAGCATTTTATTTATATTTGCCTACTTTCTGTTTCTATTTAGATTTGTGATTGTAAATATCCTTTTTTTTTATATAAATAAATGAAATACTTTGTATATTGAATAGGAAGTGTTCAATAAAAATGCGTGTTGTTTTTTGATTTGTAGATTTAATTAAAAAACATGTTTTTGTTTGAAAAACAAATCGGGCTTATAAATTTGCGACCGAAAAAAATCCTTCTATAAAATAAAATAAATGTGCTTTCTCCTTACGCGTTACAAAACTCCAATCCTTAGAAACTCCAACACCTACCTACTCAACTAGAATGCAAGAAACAGCTGACGAGTAAGTAACTTTTTATCTCAGCTTATTAACGTCTCTATAAATTAGGTACCTACCTACAACTCGCAACTACTCAAAACAAAAATTCTTTGGTCACCAATTAATTAATTATTAAAAAGCTGAACAGCTGACTACGAATGTTTTAAAATCACAACCTAGCTCTAGCTGTTGTTGTTAATACCGAGAAAATAAAACCAGTTTTTAGTTTTATATGTTGTTATAGTAGCAGCAGAAACACAGTGAAAATTTCGAAAACTGTCTAATGACACACAGACGGTAAAATTTTTTTTTTTAGTATTATTCATACACACAGATAATAAACCAATATTATTAATAATAAAATACCACGTCTTTACTTTGAATTATGCAAAGTAACAAATCACACATGCACCGAAGTTTTAACACAAGCGTAAGTAGGTAGGTACCTACCGTATCATGATTCATTCAGAACCGCATATAACTCCCTATTTCACTCGTCTCAATAACTTTCCGTCACTCTATTTGCTTTATTTATTCATCCAAACACCTTTTTTTTCGTGAGATAAAAGGAAATACTTACCCATTAAAAAGACACACATTATGTACCTACCTACTAGTAAGTAAAATTATTTTATAGTCTTACCTTTCAGAGTTTCCAGGTAATTTAAAAAAACTTATGTCTGGATGCGTTATTGACGAATTCATACAACCAAAAACAGCACAATATTTCCTACTCGTCATATTAACTGATTTTTAGAGAAAATATCGCGCGGTTATTGTTAAAAAAACAACACACAGTCCGTTCGACACTGCGGTACAACCGTGACTGTCTGCGCCCCGAGCGCACCCCGAGATCGAGGCGCGTAGGTATAGCTCGCGTTTCGTCCGTTTGTATGAAGTTGGAGTACTGTATTATAATAGTACCGTGCCGAGGGGATTTGAAACAAAGGTGATTTGAAACAGTACGGATTTCTAGAAACTTAAAACCGTTAGCGAGTTGGCAACGACGCTTTTAAACCACTTCCAGCCGTCCGCTGACGTGTCAGTTCGCGTCGGTGGCGTAAGTCGCGCTGTTTGTGAAGATCTGCGTGCCACGTGACAAAAATCGTGAAAAGTAAGTTTTTAAGGCCTTTTTACGATGCCTATATTTTGATAAGGGTTTTGTATTTTGGTTTAAGTTATATTTGTTTCGAAGGCTCATTAACTAAAGACATATTATATATATTTGGTACTATTGATTTCTGTGTATTTGCTTCTTGGTTGTGGATTAAATAAAAATTGGGAGGTTTTTTCTTACTGAGGAAATTTGAAACAGGCTGTTTCAACTCTCCTCGTTTTCAATTTCATATCAGACAGCAGTCAATAAATAATAAGCACAAAAAAAATGATTTTTTGTTGATTTAATTTGTTGTTTTTGTTTCAGCATGCCTACTGATTATAAAAGAAAGACTGACAGGCGTATGGCGAGTCGCGAAATATATGATCTCACAGCAGAAGAAGTAACTTTGCGACAGAAAAGTCTCCGTGACGCGGCTTCGAGTTACAACCTAAACTATACCTCCCTCTACAGGTATATTAAAAAAAAACTGCTTATGAAGCTAACGAAACGGTGACTGCTCCAACGGTTGGATATCCCGAAAAGACTGTTTTTACAGCTTCAGAGGAGAAGGTACTCTGTGACCATCTTTTGAACTGCGCTGCTGCTAACTTTGGCCTAAGAACTAAGGAAGCCAGAACTTTTGCCTATAGGTTGGCTGTAGAATATAATAAAAAAATTACTTCTTCTTGGTCTGAGCATGAAATGGCTGGAGAGGTTTGGCTTCGATCTTTTATGAAACGTCATCCTGTTCTTTCTCTGAGACTACCTCAACCTACAAGTATCGCTCGAGCTACAAGTTTTAATAGATCAAACGTGCAACTTTTTTTTCAAAATTATACTGCAGTAGTTGACAAACACAAGTTACAATGGAGGAATATATGGAACGTTGACGAATCTGGCATCACAACTGTTCAGAAACCAGACCGCGTCATTGCCCGACGAGGACAGAAACAAGTGAGTGCCATGACTTCCACAGAGAGGGGAACATTGGTTACTATAGCACTAGCAGGAAACGCCCTTGGGAATCACATACCCCCGATGTTCATCTTTCCGCGGAAAAGATTTAATGATCACTTATACGCGATGGACCCACTGGATCAATTGGCACTGCGAATGGGTCAGGATGGATGCAAGAATCTATTTTCTATATATTTCTTAAATTTTTAAAGACTTTTATTTCCACAATTGTTTATTTTAATAAATACCTACATTTAAATTATATCATAATTTTTATTTTACATCCCTTAATACTTCTCAAAAATCATATGTTTCTACTCTCCTCGGCCCCTGTTTCATCTTATCTCGGTATGAGGGGAGTTGAAACAAGTTGACTTGTTACGGTTAAGTCGATTTTTCGCCACAATATTTAAGGCTTACAATTTCTTAATGTTAGTCCTTCGCAAGTGTAAAGAATGACCTATCGATTGGTACTAATATCATACGATTTCTGTCTATAGTATTTGGTGTATTAAACAAAATGTCAAAAATATTTCAACTCCCCTCGGTCTCCCCTATACGCAATGATTTATTAACACTCAATCCAGATTACTATAGGTAGTTGAATCCTCAACGAATCCTCCCAGGGGAGTATTTCGAGGCAGTATATTATTTATAAATATTGTTTTTTTCTGCGATAGTTATTTAGGTTTTTTATGAATTGATATTCAAATGATGACACCGATAAGAGTGGCGGAGAGTGGATTCCTTTCACCCTTCTATCGTCTGCTTACCCTGGTATAATATCTAATAATACATTGTTTTTTGATCAAGAAGATTGATCTAATAAACAAATCAATCTTGATCAAGGTCATCATAATAGTCCACTGCTTGGACATAGTCCTATCCTTAGAATTGTTCCTATCAAGTTTTCCTTCTCTTTGCAGTGCTATTGTCCTGCGTAGTTTACTCCCTTGGTAGACTCTTACCACAACACGGGATGAATAGGGGTGGTGACGGTCCGAGTTCTGAATCCATCTCCACACGGAACCGTAAATCAGTAAGGTACACCGCATGTTTGATTGCAGGTGACTTGGGTAACATTCGCATAGTATCAGAGTCAGCGCTGGTCACGAGCGCAGCTGCTGTACTAGGGGGCCTTTTAGGGGCTTTTGCGGGGGGCAGAACAGGTGCGGTATTGGGTGCTGGCCTGGTGGGTGCTATGGGTTACAGGGCCAGTAGTAAGTACATCTTTACCATTATAAATATGGATATTTCTTTGTGTTTAGATTTTACACCTACGCTGATTAACCAAACGTTTAGAGTATAAAATAGAAAAATAACCTTGTGTGGCCTAGACAATTTCTATAATGACGTGAGCGAAGTCACGGATAAGCTATTTTAGTTGTGGTAAGCTGGCAATCCAATGGATTGGAATGGAAACAGTCTGCTCACGCCAACAAAGTGGAAAAATAAATTTGGGTATCTCCGTTCACGTAAACAAGAAATGTACTTTTATTTTTCAGCTATCACATAGTGTGGGGATCATTGGTTAGTTCTTTCAAAAGTATTGCGAAGCTGTGAAGACAATTTTTCACGTTTGACGTTTGCAAAAAAAAAGCCTATTTTTTTAGAGTGCCCCCCCTCTAAAAGTTAAACCGTTGGCTTGAAAAATCTGAAAATCATGATGGTAGTATGTATATACGATAACGAATTTAGAAGGAAAACTATAAAAGCTAAGTTCATCATCATTATCAGCCTTTAATAGTCTATTGCTCTGCATAGGCCTCTCTTTAGAAAGGGGGTTTCGGTACTACCTACTGTCCACGCTGGCCAGACGGATTCAAGTTTTCCTTCTCTTTGTCGTGCTGTTGCCCTGCAGAATTTGCTCCCTTAGTCGGAATAGGGGATGAACACCCCGTATTCTTAAACCGTCACCACACGGACGAGCTACGAAACCAAAGCTAATTTAGCGCTGCTATTTTATTAATAATAGTCGCCCAGATAAAACATGAATAATTTACTTGATTGTTAGGATTTAAAGCGTAATTGATTAAAAGATGGCACTGTTTTGTTTTTTCCACTTCTCGCTGCATTCTAAGTCCGCATGTCGTGACAAGCGACTAAGGAACCCTAAATTGCTCGTGGTTCGTCACTTTTTTTTTTAATGTAATGTCTAATCATTCTGTGTGGTGACGGATTAAGGACGTAGGACAACAGCACTGCAAAGAGCAGGAAAACTTGAAACAAACCCTATAACAACCCGTCTTGCCGCGTGCCGTCTTGCCTTAGGCCAAAACCTACCTACTTCTACGGAAAGGTCTATGTCCAGCAGTGGACTGTTAAAGGCTTTATGATGATGATTGTGTAATAATCTGAGACCAATTTCATTACAGCCGAGATGACGCTCCGCGAAGCTTGGGAGATGGTCAAGGATAAATTGATTGGATTGCTGCACATAATTCTGGACTTCCTACGAAGCCTGGACTATATTGACTATATCGCAGCGGCTGAGATACTTGTGGCTAGTGCTGATAGGCGCGAAGAGGTCTGTGAGATCATCATACAATACATCGTGACAAAACTTGGGCAGGTTGCCTACCGACAATTACAATAAACCTTTAAAATGTGTATCAAGAAAAGAAACGAATAAATACAATTAATGACGTCACACCTTGCCATCCATATTATTTACTTCTTTCTCTTATGATATTGTTACGTGTTAGGGTTCGTTGATTTGCACGCCGTCATCGCGGCGGTAAGACCCGTTATAAAGGATTGGCTCGAGAGGCAACACGGGACCCTCTGTCACGCAGGTGATTACCGGGAAAGGATGTTTCGGGGATCACCTGTGTCTGATCCGCAAGGAGCCAACGCCTGAGTGCCACCACTGCGATGGTCGGACCGTAGACACGGCGCTCCACACGCTGGCAGAATGCCCGTCGTGGGTGGAGCAGAAGCGAGACCTCGTGGCGGCCATCGGAGTGGGAGTTCTCTCGCTCGATAACCTGATTGCGGCTATCGTGCGGAGTGAGAGTGCCTGGAACTCTGCCGTCTCCTTCTGCAAGCAAGTTATGCTTGCGAAAGAGATGGCGGAGCGGGACCGGGAGAGGTTTAGAACTCTCCCGGCCCACCAGGCTCGGGAACGGGCCAGGTACCGCAGACGACTCAGGCGTCGGAGGTCGCAGAACGACCTCCGTCCTCTATAAGCGCAGGCCTGGGGGTGACAGGTGAGGCCATCTGACACCCTAGCAGAAGCAGGACCGGGTTGGCGACGAGCGCGTTGCGAAGCGCGCGCGCCCCTCCAGGCAGTACAGAGGGAACATGGGGGTTCCCACACAGGGGGGATCGTCTACCCGCCGTAGATGGCCCGAGGTACGTCGGGGCACCAGGAATTTCCTTTCTAGGGTACACCTGGTTCCCCGACCACTGGTACTTGAGACGGCGTGCGGTTTTAGTCGGTTCGAGTCCGACATTTCCACCGGTATGTGGTATCCGAGGGGATTTCCACATAGAAAAAAAAGGGTTCGTTGATTTGGAATAATAAACCTTCTGACGACTAAAGAGACTTTTACTAACACACTTGAGAACGTTCAGACAATACTGAATAATAGTCCGGACTCCGGCATAATCGCCGAGGTCACACATCTATTCAAGGTTTATCGCTTCGATTTTTATCGCACTGTAGCTCAAACTGAACTGATCGGCAAAGACAGCCTGTATTTATAATGCTCAAAAACGTTCATTATAGTAGACTCCAATCCCTACGAAAACTGCCCGCTTCTGAGAAATAGAAATTCGTTTCGAATTTAAACAAGATAATCACGCAACAACTTTTTTCGATGTTATGTTTATTGTTATAAAACTCACTGTTTCTTGCCACCCTGCATTATTATTAAAACTATTTCTGGAATTGCGAGCAGAGGGCATATGAGCAGACGGGTTACCTGATAAAAGGTGACTACCACCGCCCTTGAACGCGTTGCCGGCCTTTGAGGAATGAATAAATAAATATCAACAAAGATCTTAATTTAAAAGGAATCTGAAATACATTAGTATGTAGGTGTATGAATATGTCGTGTTCTGTCTTTTTATGTGTGTTAGGGATGTCATGGAGCTCCAAAACCATCGGATATTATATCCGAAATTAAAATCTATCTGTTACCGACGTAAAAGTTTCAAATAATTCTCGAAAAGGGCGGAATGACACAAGTTCGACATACTTTTTTTTCTTTTTTTTTTTCCCTGTGCGGAAATCCCCTCGGATACCACCCACCGGTGGTTATGTCGGACTTGAACCGACCAAAAACCGCACGCCGTCTTGGGGAACCAGGTGTACCCTAGGAAGAAAAACCCTGATAACCTGACGTACCTCGGGCCATCTACTTGAGTAAATGACTGTCCTGTGTGGGAACCCCTAAGCTATGTCCCCTTTGTGCTCCCGAAAGGGGGGCGCGCGCTTCGAAGCGCGTCTCGCCACCACCCCGGCCTGACAAGTTCGACATACTAGCCACGCCCGTCACCTGTCATTTTGGAAGTACTTACGTAAATAAAATGTTGACAATGTGACACTAGGCACTGCAAAAAGAAAGGAAAACTTGACACAAACCCTTTTTTTTTTTTTTACGTGTGGAAATCCCCTCGGACCGTCACCCCACCGGGGTTTGCGGCGGGGTGGTGTGTCGGACTCGGACCGACTAAAACCACACGGTGTGCCACTCTGCGCCTGTAATAGGAGGGATCCGGGAACAGCTGTTATTAAGACATCCGGACCCCTCCTAGCGCCTGCCCGCAACGATGCGGGCACCACCTTCGGGTATATTCTCTATTTAGGCGATGTCTGGCACACGCGGACGTCGCCTCCTCGCGGCTGGCCGTTATGGCAGGTGGAGGGGAAAACCCGTCCCGTCCACCCGCGGCCACACTCAGGGCGGCAAGAGGCGGTGAAAAGCGCGCCTCCGCCGCCCGGTTCGTCGGCGGCGGATCGGGTCCGAGTGGAGGTCGTCCTCCCGGGCCTTCTCCGCCGCCTCCTTCTGCGAGATTACTTCCTCGCAGAAGGTTGCGACCACGGTAAAACATCTGTCGCTACTGGCCATGGAGCGTATGACGGCCGGTAGCGAGAGATCCTCCCCGATTACTGCAATGAGGACCCGGCGCTGCGGCGCCCAAGCCGGGCAAATTGCCAGCGTGTGCTGAGCCGAGTCCTCACTGCAATCGCAGTGGTGACAGGCGGGACTCAATTCCCTCCTAGCGACCGAGTGCAGGTACTTCCCGAAGCAGCCATGCCCGGAAAGGACCTGCGTCAGCCGGAAGGAAAGGGTCCCGTGCTGCCGCCCTGCCCACTCGACGATGACCGGCTGGAGCGCCTCCACGGCGGCGAAGCCAGCACGTGGAGCCGGCCAACGCGCACGCCGCTTCCGCCGAAACAGTGCGGTAACCGCGTATGGCTCTAACCGCCAATGAGGGCGCCAGAGGCGTGCCCTGTTCTGGGCGGTCAGAGCCGCCGCCCACACCGGTGCACCGTATCGTGCCATTGACCGGACAACCCCCGTGTACAGCCGTCTTGTCGCGACGCTGGGTCCACCCAAATTGGGCAAAAGTCGCCCTAGGGCAGACGCAGCGCCGACCAGCTTTGGAGCAAGCTGTCGGAAGTGCTCGTCGAAGAGCCACCTCCCGTCGAGGATCAGGCCCAGATGTTTCGTCTGGGCCCGAACCGGTACGAGGACCGAGTTGACCACGACTGAGGCGCCAGGGGGTGGACCATGACGGGGCCCATGAAATAAGAGAGCCTCCGTCTTATCTAGGGCCACCCGTAAGCCCAGCGCCTCAATGCGCCCGACCACCTGGGAGACTCCCCTTGTGGCCAGGCGCGCCGCCTCTTGGAAGTTCACCCCCCGGGCTGTCACCAGAGTATCATCTGCGTAACAAATTACACCCAGCCCGGGGGGGAAATCGGCTCGAAGGGCCCAGTCGTATCCTATGTTCCACAAGAGGGGTCCAAGAACAGACCCCTGTGGAACACCGCACGACATGGGCCGACACTTCGAATTACCATCTCGGTCCTCGTACACGACGGTACGCTCCTCTAAATAGTCTGCCACTAGCCGCCTCAGGTACTTTGGCACCCCATGATAGTGGAGTGCTTCCCTGATGCAGCTGAATGGCAGACTATTGAATGCGTTGGAGATGTCCAATGACACCGCCAACAGCACGCCGCCACAGCTCACGGCCTCTTCGGTCACGGCCCTCAGGCGCAAAACAGCGTCGACTGTCGAACGCCCCGCCCGAAAACCAAATTGGGCGTCCGACAGATCGAGGCCCACCTCGTAAAGGTGCCGGAGAACCCTCTCAAACAATTTACCCGCCTCGTCCAGCAGCACGATGGGCCTGTAGGCCGCGACCGAATCGGCAGGCCGTCCCGGCTTCCTTAATAGGACCAGCTTCCCGCTCTTCCAGCACTCAGGGAAACGTCCCGACGCCAAGCTAGAGTCGAACACCTCCCCGAGGCGGTCTGCCATGTGGTTGAAGGCTAGGGCCAGCACTCGGGCCGGTACCCCGTCTGGCCCAGGGGCGGTGTTCTTGGAACGGATCCGTAGAACAGCCGCCCCTACCTCCGAATCCCGGACGGGCGGAACATCATCCTCCTCGTGCTCCCCGTCGTCTCCGGCCAAGGCCACGTCTCTCCTCGTTGCGGGAAAAAGCCCTCAAAAACCCTATACCAACCCGTCTGGCCAGCGTGGTATAGTAGGCCAAAACCTTCTTTCTAAGGAGAGGCCTATGTCCAGCAGTGGACTATTAAAGGCGGTTGATATGATGTGATGATACTTGTATATGTTGTTACTTAATTAAGTGTTAATGAGCTCCAGACATCTAAAGGTTGTCTGTGAGAGAGCGCAGACGGCGATAAGGCCGTTGTACTACTGCTTTACTCGTATTTCTGTATTTTACATTGTGTGTTTCCTAATCACAGTGTGCAATCAAGAGTAACTATCTATCTTTATATCCATTTAATTTAATAAGCTTTTATTAACTTGCACAATTTGTGTTTCGTCGAGTTCAATCTTGCAATTGAGTTTTGACGCAGTTATCCTCAACTGATAATGTTGAAATCTTGCACACATCTTTAATTTAGATGACAATAAATATGATAAATAAATCCATACTAATATTATAAATGCTAGTGTCTCTATCCGTCTGTCTGTTATCTCTTTACGCTTAAAACGCTGCAACGGTTTATATGAAATTCGGGATAGAGATAATTCAAGTCCCGGGAAAGGACATATGATAGTTTTCATCCCGGATATCGCCCTTTAAGGGGGTAAAAAGGGGGGTGGAAGTTTGTATCAATGACAGCTGAACCGATTTAGATGAAATTTGAATTTGTAGAATTTTTACCGCGAAAACCGCCATAATACGTACGCGGGTAGAGCCGCAGGCAAAAACTTGTAAATAATAATTATAAAAAGCTCATAATTTGCATATCTATGTAATTTTGTGTCCGTATGGATCGAGGAGCCATTTCAGATTTTAAACGAAACCCACCGTTATTTAGTAGGTGAGTAATTAATTACACGCTTTATATTAGCTTCACTTGTATGTTTGTTTGTAACCGACTCC